TACACTGCAAATGCACACACGCACACACACACTGCTACACTACAAATGCACACACACACTGCTACCACAGCACCAGCACACATTCACTGCTACACCCTGCCACTGAAAGTAGGAACCAAGCTCTCCCAACACAACCACTCCGAGACCCCTCATTGGTGTATTGTAAATTAAGGCACCAGCTAACTACAGTACTTGTTTGACACCTGTTTTCTACAAAAACAGTAAATTTGCAACAGAAATATGTTACAGTGTAACTTTTTGCTCTTTTTATTGTTGTCTATAACTTTCATTAAGCCAATTACAAGGGGTCTTGCCTGCATGTTAAGGCACACACAGGAGTTAACTCATAAATAAACCTCTATGAGTCAGCTTAAAAACCCAAACATCCATCCATCCATTTTCTTCCCTTTAATCCATTTCTGGGTGGGGGGGTGGCCAGATATGTCACCCAGTACACATAGCACCAGCCACTCAACGTCCGCCAATTAAATTCTAGACTATTTACATGCAATGCTAGAAACCTGTACCCTGTCGCTCAAACCTCTTTGGAGATGCATCAGAGCATTATGTCTCTATTTTATTCTATTTTATGTTCTTCTTTACACATGTTTTAATAATGTGTTGTTGTTGTGTTTGGTCACAGGGAGAAGACCGCTGCAGACGCACAACAGCACAGAACCCAGAAGAGTGGGCGCTGATCACAGATGTCTGATGTGTTTCTCAGAAGAGGCGACTCTGGCTTCTTTCATGTTTATCTCACAACTTTTCTATTATGTCCTCAAAAACTTTGGATTTCTACACACTTGCACTGACAGTTTATCTCTTAAGTCTATGGAAATTGGATGTATTTCTGTGAAGTAGAAAAGTGCATAGACAGAGTAGATGTTGCTTTAGAATCCAGGCAGGGAAGCAGGACAAATACACAGATACAATGTTCCATCTCGCTCTAGAAAGAGAAGAGCTTTTCTTGGATGGGTTTTGAAAGACTATAAAGATAATACAGCCTCATATCTGCAGCGTTAACATTTTTATTCCTCATTCGTTAGTTAGTTTAGATAGATTTTGACACACATTTGTGATAATTCTTTTTTAAATTTTCTTTTGGTCCACTTTTTTGAAGAAGACACATGGGAATTCTGAATGTGTAATGTTTCATCTATGTCTTATATGAAGCATTTTCTCTTTGTTAAACATTTAAACCATGAGAGATCGTTGTATGTATTTGCTGTACGTTATTAGTGATATAACCATAATCAAATCTCAAAGAGTGTTTACAAGCAAAAGTTCTCCTCCTTCTGCTGAAGAGAACTGAAAGCTGTTTACCACCATAAGCCAATTTTCATACAGTGACTCGGCCGGCCTCCGTTATGGAAGGTCAGCTGTAATTTCCTGGGAGCTCCATCAGTGCAATTGGTGCTGTCAAAAATCTCACTTCAACCTCTGTTTTGACTGATGTGGACGGAATGGAAAATGGCCCAGTATGTTACAAAGGTCAGAGTGTGTTTGTCACTGTGAGCAGGTTTACCAGGTTTGCAGCAGCATGTTTGTGGAAAATCATTGCATGATTCCATGAAAACATACCTCTTATAAATATACATTGACTTTGCTTCATTTTACACACATGGTTTGGATTTGTGTTTAATAAAGATTCACATTCAGATTCAGATTCAGTTTATTTGCCATTTGCAGTAAAAAAAACCCCACATTGGAATACATTAGCAAAAAGATGTATTCTAAAGAAAGGCAAGTTTGTTTGTATAGCACGGTTTACACATCATTAAAATAAAACATAAATAATCACAACACATCAAAACGAGTAACTATATAATTATTTTGTTCTATGAACAGCTAAACCTGGATTTAAACATTTCCAAGTAGACGAATGTCTCACATTTTTAGGAAGACTGTTCCAGATTCAATCTGAAATGCTGCCTCCTCTTTTTGTATGTATTGTTTATTTTTGGCAGGAAACTGTCTCAGATGTACTTTGGTGCAAGACCATGGAGAGACACAAACAGAGCTGTTTTAAAGTCTATTCTCTGAGCCACAGGAAGCCGGAGCAGAGACCTGAGGACTGGACTAATGTGGTCGTACTTCCAGAGCCCTCAATTTTGAATGTACTGCAGCTGTTTTACAGCTCATTTGGAGAGACCTGTGAGCAGGCTGTTACAGTAGTTTAACCTACTGGAGATAAATGCATGGACGATAATCTGCAGGTCTGACTTGGTTCCTTTATACAGTATTTGATTCTGGCAATGTTTTGAAATGGTAAAAAGCTGGACTGATTTGGTTTTAATTAAAATTAAAGTCTAAGTCCATTATTATATGTTTCTGGCCTGATTTTTTTTTTTGAGGGACCAAAGACAATCCTTTCAGTTTTGTCTGAGTTTAGCTAAAGAAAGTGGTTTTGCATCCACTCACTGATCTGTTGGATGCAGTGAAGGAATGAGTTCATGTTTTCCTGCAGTCAGTGAGACATAGTTCTGAGTGTGATGGGACACGTAACTGTGTATTTACAACGGCTGCATGTAGAGATTGAACAGAAGAGGCCACTGCAAAGGAAAGAAAATCGGCCACTTGGGAGAATCTGAGTAGAGCCACTGCTCCTCCATATCAAGAAGAGCTTGATGATGTGGCTCAGACATCAGAATCAGAATCAGAATCATTTATTTGCCATTTACAGTAAAACCACATTGGAAAACTGTGCAAGACTACCCCGGTGTGCACCAGACAGAGAAGACGACACACACCAGAGCTCTTGCCACGGCGCCATCTTTACGGCGCCATGCGACAAACAGTAGAATAAACAGCAGAGAGCAATAACATACAGTTTCACAGACAGTTGGATAGACACATTTGTGCTTTGTATAAAGCACGGATTTTTGCTCGGGATGAAGCACCTCCTACAGCCGGCCCAATGTGGCTGTCAGAGGGGGGCGGGGTCAGGGAGGGGGTGAGTCGGAAACACAGTGAGGAGTGGAAGGGAGGGAGGGAGCAAGATGGATAGAGAGGGAGGCGGGGGGAGCGGGATCCAAGCTGGAGACTGAAATAGTGTGAGTTGTTGTAGATGGGACCTTTGTTATTATGGCCTTGGCTGAGGAATGTGAGATAAGAGTGGAGAGAAGGCACAAGAGGAGAAAACACATCGCCTCAGGGGGACAATATTAAATGCAATGTCAGGCAGATATTCTATTAAATCCAATTAAACCGAATTGCGGCGCCCTCAGACCCCGTACACAGGGGCAAATCCAAGCCGGGTCAGAGAGTTCAAGCCTGACACACAATGTCATTCAATCTCAACTCCAGAGTTTTATGTCCATCGAGTGAACGAGCTGCGAGATCTTTTATCAACTGTTCCACTAACACCACTCTCCTTTGTCCAGACACGGCGCTCTCAACCACGACGCGGCTAAGCTCCTTGTACATCCCATCAATTTTGTCGGCCAGCAGGTCGTGAATCTTGCGAACTGCCATGCCTCCGAATTTGTGGTAGAACAGGATCGCTCCAAACCCAAACAGGAGGATTCCCACCACCAAAATGCCAAAGATATATACGTCTTCCGAATCTTCAATGGACAGGGTCGACAGACAGAGGGGCTGAAACTTGTTCCAGCTGTCAAGAGTATACCCCGCTGGTGAAGTCCCGTCCGGGCACACGGGCTCTCCAGACCCACGCTTACGTGTTGAAAAGATAGAATCAATTGCGTTGAGGGACCAGTTAATCATTTCCATTCTTGTTAAAGTTGTCTGTGGCAAAACTCCAGGAAAAAGACAAAAACAGGAGATAGCAAGCAGTCAGAAGCAGGAGCGTCTGAGACACGTCTTTGCTCGACGGAGGCGGAAAGGGTAGGCATCTGCTCTAGATGCCTCCTGAACGCTTCCCAGGGTTGATATGAGAACCCAGAGCAGACCAAGGACACATTCAAGGGACTCTCTCAGCTGGCCTTGTAACGCCTCGAGATTCCCCAAATGAGCTGGGTGAAGTGTGAATGGAAAGAAAATGTCTGGATAGGTTTAAAGGGGCGACAGTAGCTCAGTTCCCACCTCTGCACCTTCTCCATCGACTCCCACTGATGACTGCTGTCGTTGTGTCCTTGGGCAAGACACTTAACCCCACTTTGCCCAAAAAGCCCCCACTGAAAGATCAAGGCTATGCTCACACTCAGAGAGCAGCCGTCCTCTTGTGGACTCACCACCTGCAGAGGGTCAGTAAAAGTTTTGCATAAGAAAAGAAAATATCCTGTATAATGGTATAACTTTCAATGATTCAGAATATTGGTGCACGATTGGTGAAATATTTTGCAAGACTTCCAAAAACACATATAGCCCCACTGCCTCAATGACCCGGCCAAAGAAAAATCAATTGCTGTATTTGGAAAATTGCTAATCTTGTGTTAACCCATGCTCTCTTATACCTATGGCAAAATAAATCAATACACCTTTTTTTGTGAGAGCTGATTGTAGTTGTTCTATTCATCCCATATGTAAAAATATAAGTATAGCTCCAGAGTTTATTTTATTCTTTATTTTATTGTCTATTATCTTAAATGATAGACTCATTTGATGTGTGCATTATTTCCTTCTTTCTCTGCTGTAATGTGCGCAACGATGATACTGAAATTTCTCCACTGCGAAAGGTTTATCTTATCTTATCGCATCTTATAAATATTCTTTATACTAGACTAATGGCTATTTATGAAAAATACTCTACAAATCATACAATAAACCTATCAGGGATTTTAGAGAAACAAATCTGTGTTCTCTTTCTGTTTGATACTTTTTTTTATCAATTATAAAGAGCGCAGATTGAATACAGACGTATTAGCACGCTACACATTTTCACAATAATGGTTTCATCCAGCGCACCTCAAATTTCACACTTTGCTTCACGGACTCTTACTTTGAAGGACCCAGCAGCGGAAGTGCCTTGTGTCCGGTGTTAGCCTAGCTCCGTGGTTAGCTCCCAAACTAGTGACTAAAATACGCACTTAGTCTACAAAATGTCTCACGCTGTGCCCGCAGAAAAGCCCTCCAACCCCGCCAATCCACGGGTCTTCTTCGACGTGGACATTGGAGGCGAAAAAGGTCAGAATATTGCAGATTATTCAACATTGGGGCTGTTTCAGGTTAGCGTGAGTTAGCTAGCTGCTCTGCTTTAACCCCATTCATTTGGAACACGTGAGAAAATCTTACTTACTCTTCAGAAGTTATGATTTTCACATGTGTTTTTAGAGCTTCTGTAATCATCACTCACTTTTGACATTGGTTGATAACTGTTGACTAATTTTATAAAACACTGGATGAGTGAGTGTGCAATTAACCACGTGTAGTTGTTTTGTGTTGTATTAGATTACGTTGATTCAAAAGATGTGGCTTCGACTGTTTGTTATTGTTTATGTGTTTGTTCTGTTCGTCATGAAGTCATGGCTGAAACCATTCCTTCTGGCATCTTCTAGAAGGTGGCAGGTGGCCTTTGGATCCTACTCATATTTCCCATAGACGTCTTCTGCTGTTCTAATGCCCGAATAGCCTTGGTTCGTTTTCGTTCATTTGAAGCAAGTCATTGATTACAATTGACTAAAGCAAGAGCACGCAATTAATTTTACTGTAATTATACTTTTTTTCTGTGTTACAGATACATGTAATACAACATACAAATTATGTAAATTTTATTCTGGGATCCAATCCGACCAACATTCTTTCTTCATACTGTTAGAAAACCTTGTCATCTTTTAGCATTCTTGTAAGAAACAGCCCTTAGTCTCGATTTATAAAATTAAAATAATTATGGCGGCTTTGTGAATCCTATTGCTGTTACTGATTATCCTAGGAAAACATTTGGATTTTTTCTTTGTCAACATTTCTCACTTAAAGCAGGGATGTCAAAGTCAAATACATCAGAGGGTGAAAAACAAACTTGCTACAAGCCGAGGGCCGGACTGGTTCAATGTTTATTAAAACATATTAAAAAGATGCATATAACATATTGAACCAAGACCTAACAGTTTCCCATATTTGATTTAATGACCAAATGAATAATCAAATAATTTTGTATGGCTTTGTCAATAATTTCAATTGAAAACATTTTTAAACGGGCTCACAGCCAAAACAAACATCCTCAAAAGAGAAAACACACGCCCTGAACTGTAAATGAATATTCTAATCTTCTCTTGAGCCTCTGTGTGGGCCGGTTATAAGTCTTATAAAATGTCAGGATACTTCATTTGCGGGCCGTATCTGGCCCCCGGGCCTTGACTTTGACACCCATGCACTAAAGGCTTCTCTCCCATTGGCACTTCCCTATTACACTGCAGTCTCTTTATTATAGTTTTGCATACAGTCAACAGGCCTCTGGTTCTACAGCTGCTTGTATGCTTTTGAATTTGATCTTTATATCTGTATCTTTGAGTGTTTTAGATGATTTTAATATTTTCTTTAAAGAGTGACTAAACACCTGTGCCCAGCCTCACTCCGCCACACAGACGGTTTTAGGCTCAAAAGTGAGATTTATTCTAATTTGCACAAAAATGTAAAAAAAAAAATGACCAGAACATGTAGAGAGCACTGTAAGAAACATATTAATCCAGTTTATGAGTTAAAAAAGTTGATTTGGTGTTTAGTTGTTCTTTAAACAGTTGACTTTCTTGTGAGTTTTTCATTTCATGTTTTCTTGGCTCAAAAGCCACTTTATTATGTGTCAAAAAAATAAATGTGAGTGTCAAAGTAACTCCTGACTCTTTATGTGTGAGTAAACTTGTCCCTCTCTGCTCCACAGTCGGTCGGATAGTTTTCGAGCTGTTTGCTGACCTGACTCCTCGCACAGCGGAGAACTTCAGGGCCCTGTGCACTGGAGAGAAGGGCATGGGCAAATCCACAGGGAAACCGCTGCACTTCAAAGGATGCCCCTTCCACAGAAGTAAATGGCACTCAGCATCTTAGGGACTCTCTGAAGTTCAACTACTGCCTCTCAGGGGACGAGAGCTGCCCTGTAGATCTATATTCTGCAGATGACAAGTATTTAGGGAGATTTTTCTACCAATTGAACATGTAATGTGTCTGAAAATAATTGGTTTACATTGTGTAAGGGTTAACGTATATTACGCAGGCCCATTATCTTCGCCCTGTCGGTACTTATTTTCCGATACTGGGCCTGCGTAATATACGTTATCCCGCTTATTATACGGCTTTATACCAACAGAACACTCAAAATAAACTTCAATCCACTTTTAGGAATGCCAAAAGGTTTATTTAATGACAGAAAATAAAATGGTTCCCAAAGGCTTTCCCGTGGCTATGCTAGCAACAGTTAGACTATCAACTTCCAAACTAGAACTCTCTGGAACTGCATGAAAACTGAACAAAGAATTGAACATCAGCGGTGAGTGACCCATACATAAACCTAACCTAAATCCATAATTCAATCCTCTGCAAATGTGTCCTAATATGTGCCGGTATCTACTTCCGGGTTTTTCAGGATCGCCTTTTCTCGCATTAAATCAGTGTTTTTGTCATGAAAACGCATTAAGACTGGATATGTATAAATTACTCTCCGATTAACATTTCATTGCGTTGATTGATTGGTATTTGCGTTTATTTAGCGGCCGAAACTACTTCAGGGTTTTTCACGATCGCTTTTTGACACAGAGAAATTGTATTTTTGTCATGAAGACAAGACCAGAAAATATCTCCGTGTACGTGTGTGAAGAATGTATATGTATAAGTATTCTCCGATTAACATTTAAGTGTGTTGATTGAGCGTGGCTAGCTCCGGAGTGGCCGGAACTACTTGTGGAGTTATCCACGCATCTGAAAGACAAGCAGAGAGTGCGTTGCCATGGGCAGCGGTCATTATTGTTTTGAGAGGTCCGTTATAGAAAATAATGACCGGTAGAACGTTTTGAAATTACATTCAAATCAATGGAGCGTTCTACTGCTGCTGTGAGGAGCCGTGTAATAAATGAGATACAACTTTTCTTTGTTCCACAGTGGGGAGATTTCACTGTTGCAGCGGACATACAGGGCAGTAGTAGGAGCACACAGGGAGCACACCAAATATTCAGTAAATGTAGCTGCTAGTATTTCACTATCAATCAATGTAGTGTAAAGACAGCTATCGCACGTCTGGCATGGATCATTGAGTCTGTGTGTAGCCGCTTGGCATATTACGATTCTTTGAGATTTCGCGAATAGTTGTAAAAGTGAAAAACATTGTTCGGGCTGCTAAGCGGTAAGGACTGTGGAGGACCGGCATAACACATGGTGAAAGACGAGAAGATCAGAAGAAAAGTTAGAAGGGACTCAAAAAAAAAGAGATGGAAAACGAGATGTGAAACTTCCAGTAAAATCCCCCTCTATACCTTTTAATGTTTCCAATGGTAGCCAAATTAGGATGGGTATGAATGCCTAGCGTTAATGAATACTGAATACAAACCCAAATGTGAAGAGAGACTTGGGTATTCACATCTCATCTAAAGACTTATGTTTATTATTTAGGAATACATTACTATCTTTGAACCTATTACAGGCTTAAAGATCTTGTATGTTAGTAAAATGATTACTAACATAATGTTTTTTTTTTTTTTTTTTTTGCAGTTATAAAGCAGTTTATGATCCAGGGAGGAGACTTCTCCAACCACAATGGAACTGGAGGAGAGAGCATTTATGGTGAAAAGTTTGAAGACGAGAACTTCCACTATAAGGTAACGTGTTACTCACTTGAGAAATTGTACTTTTGGTCGATACTTTTTCTTAAAGAAGCAGAGAACTGTTTGTCATTGTTGTATAAGGACATCACACTATTACAAGATTGAGGCAGGAGCTGTTAGACAGAAGAAGTGGAGTTGCATATGTACTAGAAGTTCTTAATATTAGCGAGGATTGATCTTAACAACTCCAGGTCTGTTTAAACCTCTATTTTGCACAAATATTTAAACCTCTATTTTGCACAAATATATATGTATTATTTTGTGGTCTAAGGGATATTTAAATGATATTTGAAGTGCAGTAAAGGATTCTTGTTTAACATTTTGTCACAACCTTTATCTAGTACTTTCTTTGCTTTTGGCCATAAGCTGCAGGGTTGTACCGCGTTCTGGCTGACTACTGCTTCTTGAATTGCAGCATGACAAAGTGGGGCTCCTGAGTATGGCCAACGCGGGGCCCAACACCAACGGCTCCCAGTTCTTCATCACCACGGTGCCCACGCCGCACCTGGACGGGAAGCACGTGGTGTTCGGACAGGTGCTCCGCGGCATGGGTATGATCAAGATGCTGGAGGCCATGGAAACCAAAGAGGACAATCCAGTGCAGGTGCAAACTCTCACACACATGTTCACCGCATTACCGTACCATATAAGCCGCAGCACATGTTTTAAAAGATAATCTATGTTTTCCACATGGACCACACTGGAATACAAGCTACTAAAACCTGATGGTGTAAAAAGAAGTCCTTAAACTCTGCTGAGAACTCTAACACAATAAAAATACACACATTAGCTGGTTCACTGTACAGGCCGCAGGGTTCAAAGAGCTAGAAAAAAGTAGCGGCTTATAGTCTGAAAGTTACGGTTCTTTGCATAAGCCTGTTGGTGAACTGTTGGTGGTGCTTATGTTGAATGTAAAGCCCAGCGTCGTGACTCGCCCTAAGGAAATGTAAAGTGATTTTGGAGGTGTTTTTATTTTAATTGGTGGGTTTTTGTTAAAAATATAAATGGGTGTGTTCACAGTAACTTTAAAAGTTTCTGCACTTTCAAAGGTTAGAACTCAAACTAAAGTAACTGTCATAGATGAGAAACGCTGGTGATGGTTTCTGTCACTTCTTAATAATGTCTGGTTTCACATTATTTGGTTTACTATGTGAAAGTAATCACTTTGTTTCTATTCTGTGTGGGGAAAAAAATCTGTTCATTAAATGTGGACATCTGTAAATATGTAACAAACTTCCATGTAGCTCAGTCCCTCAAAGGATCACGTCCGTTACACAAATAAACAGAGCTGCTATTGGAAACTTGACTAATGTATTAAACAGTTATCTTCTACCTACAAATAATGGACAGAAGAGGTATTTGGATTAGGAGTGTGACGATATATCGATATGGTGATGTATCGTGATACTTTCTCACGCGATCGATTACAACATTAAAACATTTAAAAAAAGATTTTTGTATCAATACTCAATATACATTACGCATCTCCATTCCATTTATCATGAAATAAAGTGTATTTATTCACTTAACATTTTTCTTTTATCGATAATCGTCATATCGTGATATAATCGTTATTGTGAGCTTTGTATCGTATCGTGAGGTACCCTGAGGTTCCCACCCAAATTTGGATACATGAACAACATAGAATTTCTTCTGACTATTAACATCAAATGTTTGGCCCTTTGTCACACTTCTGTACCCTCTAGTGTGAACAAGCCCAATTCACGGCACTCTCGCCTCTCAGCAAGATTGTTCTGGGTTTCGAACCCGGTCGGAACAGGGCCTTTCTGAGTGGAGTTTGCATGTTCTCCCCGTCTCTGCGTAGGTGTACTCCGGGTACTCCGGTTTCCCCTACCACTAAAAACATGTGTAATAGTTCAGGGTGAATGAGTGTGGGTTTGTGACTTATTTTATTGCACCATAATTGAACAACACAAATCAAGTTGGAGAGACCATAACTTATGGAGTACCGCAAGGGTCAATACTGGGACTTGAATTATTCACAATGTACCTAAATGAAATCAAAACTAATGAAAATTCTACTTTTTGCTGAAGACACAAACTTATGTGCAGATGATTAACTGAAGCAACAGTAACTGGAGAAATGAACAAATCTTGGTTTAATAATGATGAATTGTCACCACATTTAAAAAAGGGTGGTATTTTTTGTTTTTAACAGTTACCAAAGTTGTAGACCGGCCAGGATTGTTCCCAAAATAATATTGTGTATTATAAGTTCTAATGGCAACCCCACATAAGTTACATGAGGACAAAAGTTGTCAGAATGATGAAAAGTAATTTTCTGCACCCCTCTGCTCTTATTGTACCGTTCATTCATAGTGTCACATTTATATTACTGAAGTGCGGGGAAACTGTTAATCTCAATTAGTCTTCTAGAACATTTGGTGTAAAATCGTGAGTAATGAACTTGATGTAAATGCTGAGTTGTGAGGCATACACTTCAGGCCCCACGCGGACCACTCCATCCTGACATGATCTATAATGATGTTTAGCTCGTGCTGCGTCTCTCTGAACCCTTTGGTCCCTACAGCCCTGTGTGATCTGGGACTGCGGTGAGCACAAGGACGGGGACAGCTGGGGAGCAGAGCCCGACGATGGATCAGGGGACTCGTACCCAGAGTTTCCAGAGGACGCAGACATCGACTTTAAAGACGTGAGTTCTGCTTTGATCTCACTGCGGCTTTTGCTAGAAAAATCATCACCCAGGGAAATCTCCTTCTCAACAGAACAAACGGATCCATTTAAGTCCGACTGTCAAAGTCTGAAATTACTGAGCGCAAATCCAAGAGTTGTCTCAGATGTGGTTTAAACAGCCTCCTTTTACGATTTTGTCATTGTCTGCCCTTTTATAACTGTTGTGCAACCAAAAACAAGCGCTCATTCAGAATGTCGTTTCTACACTGAAAAGCTTTGTGTGTAATCAACAAACGTCTTTGTCAATGCAGCGCTCTGGGTGATGCCAAGATTGACTCCAGCAGCAGCACAGTGGAGGAAAAGGCCACTTAGATGTGTCACTTTGTCCGTTTTTATGTGTTTAAGCCCAGCTTCGGCAACTCAAGATGTCTTCCCATAGCATTGGCTTGTGCTCTCATAGTATTACAGTATAGCACACATAGTCTCACCAATAGACCTCAATAAAAGAAGAAGTGACGCATTTCAGCCCCTTCTGGTCTTTCCGGTCTTGCTCTTCCCTCTGCTTCCGCCGAGGTGAACTCATGAGCGTTCTGAAGCGGTGCAGGAGCACAGTTTGCCATAAGTGTTTAGAAGGAGGTCTATGGGGTTATTTCCTGTATAGCTTTAGTGAATGTAGTCTGCAGTAACTAGTCGTCCACCGCTATGCTGGAGCCTGGCTTAAGCTGGCAATACACTGTGCAGATAATGTAATGCATCATGGTTTAAGCTGAGAGAGGGTAGCCTAAACCGATGCAGTTAAACTAAAGTTCTGACAGAGGAATATTATAGTACTGATAAAGTACAGACGCAAACGGCACGTCCCTCTTGGCCGCGGGATGTCTCTGTGTTGTGCTCAAAGTCTTCTTTTCCCCTCTTATTTTAGACACTGCTTGGTGTCTTGCAAATCTTTTTCCCTCTAGGCTTTTGAAACTGATGCTTTGAGTTCTGGTTCCAAATGGCTACAATAGGCTAGACTATAACTTTATGTGGGCGACAGTGCCTCAGCATTGGCCTTTGAGCCTGAAGGTTTTGGGTTCGAGCCCAACGTAAGACCTACTTCACGACTCCCACTGATGTCTGCTGTCGTTGTGTCCTTGGGCAAGACACTTAACCCCACTTTGCCCAAAGCCCCCACTGAAAGATCAAGGCTCCTGGGGACTCACCACCTGCAGGAGGATCTGTGAGGGGCTGGTGTTCTGTGAATTGGGTGCAGCTCTGACTTCCACCCCTGACCCAGAAATGGATTAAGGGGAAGAAAATGGATGGATGGATGAATAACTTTTTTTATATCCAGGAATGCAATTGTGTCATGGTAAAAGCTACTGTTGTATAATACAGAAATGCTGTAGGGATTATTTACTGCAGTACTGTCAGGAAATTTAAGGATGCAAGAGTCCTTGTTTTATTTCTGTCTTATTGAAAAAGAACCAAAATGTAATCCCTGTGACATTTTTTCTCACATTCTAGAGACTAAGGCATGTACTGTAATATAACAGCTTTATATTTCCATTAGCTAGAAGTATCCGGAGTGCGTTTGATTCACCAATTAACCACAAAGAACCACATTTCTAGTCTTGTTAATTGTCAGTTATGCTTTTCTTCAGGTTGACAAAGTTCAAAGTCTTGCAGAGGATCTAAAGAACTTTGGAAACACTCTTTTTAAAAACCAAGACTGGAAAGGAGCCGTGAAGAAATACAACAAAGCACTCAGGTAAAGACGGTCCTCTTTAACCAAGAGTCCTGCTGCTGTTCTGGGGGAGACGTTATCCACTCTCGCTGATCATAACACTTCATGTGATGATTGGAAAGTGATGCTTCCTTCATATTCAGTCTTAAGAGTTTCTGCGTCTTGTCTGTGCCTCCTCCACGACTCCCCACAGCACAAACACGTCATGCATGTAGAGAGGCACGTCATCGTCTGAGGTTTAATATCGTTATTGAAAAACGTTTAACTACGAAATCCTTCTTCCCACAGTGGGGACATAACAGTGGGGACAAAACAGTGGGGACATAACAGTGGGGACATAGCAGTGGGGACATAGCAGTGGGGACATAGCAGTGGGGACATAGCAGTGGGGACATAGCAGTGGGGACATAGCAGTGATTTATTTCCAGTTACAGAACAGTAGGAATGAGGAGCGCACAATCATTTCTCAAACAATACTAAAATAAAATGAAATAACTCTCCAACTTTGGTATAATAAAGAAGCAAGTATAAATGCTGTATATTCTAGTGCAAGTAAGATATAGTTTGATGTGTACATCTGTACATGTTGGCAGCCTGAGGGCAGTGGGCCTGCGTCGATCTTTCCTGCACATTCTGACATTAGTTCAAAGGATTGCACAGATGCATGACGTTTGAGCTTTATCACCTGCCCTCGTCCCTGTGTTGAGGCAGTGCTCGTGTCGTGCAGGTACCTGGAGTTCGGAGGGGACGAGTTTGACGAGGGGATCCAAAAGAAGCTGGAGCCCGTGGCCCTCAGCTGCTTCCTCAACGCAGCGGCCTGTAAACTGAAGCTGCAGCTGTGGCAGGAGGCTGTGGAGAGCTGCTCTGAGGTCAACACACACATGACGCACATGCTTTTAACTGCCCCATATTTCGCTCCTCCATCCTAAGCACATTTGCACCCCAGATTTGATATACCAGATACTTTATTCAAAACTTATGAAATTATGGTAGTCTTTAAGTTATCTTAATTTATATAGAGCCTTTCACAGATCCGGAGTCACAAAGCGCGTTAAAGAAATCACATCGCCTGGAGGTGATGTCATCTCATTAAAACAGAGCTTATCACTCGTCCTGTGAGCCTGCCCCCATCCCCCCCCCCCACCCGCACAGATGGTAAACACAGTGTGGGACACCTGCACATAGTCATTTCAGACCTGACATTGAACTTTTTTCAACAATGGTGATCTGTCACAAAGAGCTCTATGGCTTTGATCCAAAATGTGACCGCTCCTGAGCGTCTTTTTGTTGTAGAATACAACCAAGTTTCAAGATCAGCTTTTGAGTTGGTCCATTTTCATGGTAACCATAGTTCTGGGACACTCTTTGGTGAAATTGCAGAAAGATTTCTCACAGATTTTGGTGGTAGATCCCTGCGAAAAGAGAGTGCAGCCACATTCGCTGAATTCTTCATCTTTGTGTTTGGACCAAATAGTGTCATCAAACATATTTACACTCATTTTCTCCAAGTTGTCCAACACTTTTAGTCTGTGTCAACAGCAGAAAAACAGCAGAGCTCAATGTGGTAAACACAGGACCATGCACTGGACTGAGGAGAGCGGCAGCACTGATTCGCTGTTTTGATTTCTCCTGTCAGTCACCTCCTGGAGACTGGCTTCTCCCGCTTGTGCCGCATCATCGATGTGAACTCTCTAACTAAAGCTTGAGTGTATCAATTAAAAAAACTAAAGAACCTTTTTAAATGGGGGTTTTTGTGTGCTTGACCTGTGCTTGTGTGTGTTCATGCGCTGACAGGCTCTGGAGCTGGACAAGAAGAACACAAAAGCACTTTTCAGGAGGGCACAGGCGCACGCTGGGCTCAAGGACTTCAGCAAAGCAATGGTGAGCGAGTCCTGAATCAAAATAAGTGTTGGAGATTCATCATTCATTCACAAGATTCTCTGCCTAAATGCAACAAGAGGCTAACTCAGTCCATCCTAGATTCTAAAACCATGAACAGACTCCTAAGGATGTAAAGGGATTTGGTTCTCTATCAGACAATAGCAATTTTTGGGGTAATTTTCCAGGGTCTGCCCCATTAGAGTTCCTGGTGAAACTTTTACAGGAACCGTCCTCTCCCTCGGTCCTCTCAGTGTCTGTGTCTCTTCTACAGAGTAGGACCACTCGGCAGGTCATGAGTTTCGATTACTGCATAAGCAAAACACATTACGCCAAACCCATTTGTTTATTTTGCGGTCGTAAACACTCTGGTTGTTGTGGTCTTTGAGTTTTTAAAACTTTTCACGATTTGTTTTGGAGTGTGATGAATCCCCAGTGCTTTGAGGTGAAGCTGATGTCATAATATATCTTATTTCGCAGCGATGCCTCAAACCCCGTCTGAATCCATGCCGTGCTGTTTTCAGTGGTGTCTGCTAGGCTAATGCTGCTAGGCTAATGCTGCTAGGCTAATGCTGCTAGGCTAATGCTGCTAGGCTAATGCTGCTAGGCTAATGCTGCTAGGCTAATGCTGCTAATGCTGCTCTCTGTTTTGATGCTTCGCTGGCGTCAGAACCTGCGCTAGCTTTAGGCAATCAGCGCCAGGTTAACCTCAAGTCCCACCAGGGCCCAACGGAGTACCTAGCATGGAGGAGGGACTCTGTTGGGCCCCTTAAAAGTTCCTGTCAACATCCCTATGTGGGAAGTTCCTACAGTGGAGACGTGCACCGACGGGGCTGGCCCTGGAAAATTACCCCAAAGTTCCTGCGGTGGAAACGCGGTTGCAGTCCCCACTGCAGGAACCTCCCCCACAGGGCAATTTACATGAACTTTTACGGGGCCAAACTGAGTCCCTCCTCCATGCTAGGTACTCCGTTCGAGCACCAGCTCCTGGTGGGGCTTAAGGTTAACTCGGTGTTGGTTGGCTAGAGCAGGCTCTGATGCCAACAGAAAGCACAAAAACCTAATGCCTAGCAGCATTAGCCTAGCAGACACCACTGGAAACGGCAAACAACAGCAAGATGTACGATAAATGGACGAATGATGAGATGCAGGCACAATAAATGGGTTTGGCATGATGAGTTTTGCTTATGCGGTGATTAAAAGTCATGACGTCGCTGAGTGGCCCTACTCTGCAGTGGACACACAGCCACTGGGAGGCTGAATGAGGGGATGGTTCCTGTAAAAGTTCCACCCTGCATCTTTTACCAGGAACTCCAGCGGCGGAAACGTGACCAAAGTTAGCAATAGGATTACCTTTACATTATTTGACACTTCTGAGTAAGACAAGATGCACCTTCCTAAAGTATCAAAGCAAACTCATTAGCAGATCAGTATCTTAAAGAAAAACATATCTGGACTCGTACGAGGCACATGGAGGTCCGAGTACAGAGTTTTCTTGGCTCTGTCATGTGAAAGAATGAAAACTATCTCCATAGACTTTTAATTTCTTCATGGCAGTTTTGTAAAAGAAAGGCCAGGTGTAATTTAGTACAGCGGTGTTTGATGAATGGCGTCTGGATCCGCTCCTTTCTCATATCTATGTAAATATGTTTAACAGGAGGATCTGAAGGCTGCTCAGGAAATCACACCAGACGACAAAGGTGAGCGTTGTAATAGTCTTCTGATGTCCTTCCATTGTGTGGCTCTACAAAATTGCCGTCGGAAACGTATTGAGCGGGCGTGCATTTATGCCTCTGTGAAATTGTCAGACAAATTGCTTTTCGAGGAACCCGCTGGACTCCCTGGTGAAGACGTAACGAACAAAGCCAAAACAGTCATCTCAATAAACGCATGAATTCAATTTGTGTTGATTGTAGAGCGTCGTTACTGCGCAGAGAGGAACTGTGGGGAGTGCGGTTATACTTAAGCAATAATCATAATAATGAATCAGTTTTATATAGTGCTTTTTTGTTGATACTTCACATGGCATCATTTTTTCACTCCATACTGTAAATATTAACGGATGTAGTCACGCCTATCTCCGCCGTTCTAACTAATGGGCCAAAAATAGCGCTCTACTGGAACTATCCAAAATGGCCGCGAGTGGTCCCGCCCACAAGAAAGTTGTGAAAAAGGCATCTGCGCATGCGTCAGCCGGCGCAACTCCATTCACTTAAACGAGTTACTTCAAAAATTAACAGCAAGTAAACTTGAGTGGTCCAAAAAAATTCACCCCCCTCAGCATTGACACACATGTGGAACGGAGCTTTGGGCCAAGAGCCAACTTTTGGACCATCCTGTAAAGACGTTTTTGAGCTGTAAGATGCTGCTATATGTTAGCATTGGCTAATTCTTATTCCGGGTCCACACCCATCGGCCCGGGGTGGTATTGCAAGCATGTCAGCGCACGTCATTTTGGCCACTTTTGAGCCGGGACCCTCCTCCACTGCTCCATACACAGATGGATAAACTACTATTGTTGATACAGCTGCCCTGGGACACACTGACAGAAGCGAGGCAACCAGTACCCTCCCATCACCACTAACCAGTCACACACCAGACTCTAACTCTGCAATGTGGTTTTGGTACTTTACAGCCGGCCCACTGTGGCACCTGGTGGTCCCGGAGGTCTTCAATCACTTTTTCATGCGGTTAACTGTTTTGAAAGTCCTATAATGGCATATATTGCATGAGAGTTACTGTGTGTGGTTTTCGGTCAGATCCTTTTGGAAATAAAGCCTGGGTGATAGTTATAATAAATACAAATAAAAAACCTGATTTTTTTATCCCCACTCTAGATATGTACATGTGAAGGAAAAGGATTGGGCGAACAATGGAACTTTCTCCTTGACAAGTCCTGATTTGAGACTTTTCTTGCGTGCACTGCTCTTTGTAAAAGACCTGTAACGCCTTAAATAACATCCAGTTTTTTCCTACACAAAGGCTGGAACAATGTATTTGGGCCTCAGTATTTGACTGAGGCCCAAGTCATTTCTCTTACCGCACACTTTGGAATGTAAGAAAGGGCTTAATACCTAAACTTTATCTTTTAAGTCTTATAGAATGAACTTTGAGACCTTTTTTCCTACTTATTTGCCATTCCACATTGAAACCTTGCCACCTGCTCAGATTTGACACACATGATTCCTGGTCTTTTCTTTTTTTTGTTGCAAAATCTCTTCCCGCCTTCTTGACCAAGACGTTTTAATCCTGCGTTTGTGGGCTGTGGGGAAGATAGGGCTTATCTGTGGCTCCAGTCGTCCCACTTTCCCGTCAGTGGAGACACAAGTGGACGTGAGCGCGGCAAAGTAAATAACACTTCTAACTTAATCCATGTGGTTCTGTCCTCAGCAATCATGGGTGAAATGAAGAAGGTCCAGCTCAAGATCCAGGAGGAGAAGGAGCGGGAGAAGAAGATGTTCGCCAAGATGTTTGCGTGATTTCAATGGGAGTTATTTTACACTGCAAAAACTATGCATCTGGTCTGGCTTGGCTTGATTTCAGGTACTTTTGGTCACAAAAGTAAATGCATCTATCAGAGACGAGGATATCACTGGTTTAGAGCAAGTTGGCTGCAAACGTTCTGCTTTAAAAACCTCTTGTAAACATACGAGTGGGGTCAGAAACATCAAACCAGTGAAGGTCCATCGACTTTGACTATAAACTTAACTGAAAACCTCAAAGTCCTGCATTTCGGTCATTCAAACAGGTCTGGAGACGTAGTTTTTGCAGCAGGTCACTGTATGCACTGAGCTGTTCTGTCACCAAAGTGTGGACAAGTTTTGATACGGTTTCACTAAAAGTTGCGTTTTATTTCTTTTTACAGAGCTCAAAACAACCGTACAATGTGTTTAATCAAAGTGTTGCTCCAGAATATACACAGTAATGTGCCACCGCAAAGCTGGATCTCAGTAGAAAACGTCTTTCGTATGTTTAAAGCCCAACACACAGTTGGCACACAGCATAAATATAAGTAAAATAATAACACGCATAAAGTTTGTAAAAGGAAAAAAATGAAATAGGTCCACTCTGTTACAAAGGCATTATTTCATTTGACTAAAAAGACTGGCTCCATTTTTGTGCGTTTGTTCAAAAGACAGGCAATGTATATTCTAGAGAACACTTGATTAAACTAAATAAAAAAGGCAAGATTATTGTACAGTTACACAACACTGTTCGTCTTCAATAAATGTGATATGAAAGAAACGGTCCCTTTGTCACGTGACTGCATAAGTTAGGTTGATTCCAGGCACATAGCTCGAGTTTAGTTTCTCTGAACAGTTTACAATCCTACATGCCGTTGTAGGCCGGGCCGCCGCCGCCCTCCGGCACCACCCAGTTGATGTTCTGGCTGGGGTCCTTGATGTCGCACGTCTTACAGTGGACACAGTTCTGAGCGTTTATCTGCAGCCGCATGCCGTCTCCGGTGTCCAGGGGAACGTACTCGTACACGCCTGCAGGACAAGAGGAACTTCAGCATACACGCACAAACACACACGCACAGCAACATGCTTTGGATTCTTCAGGCTGGTTCAGTAGATGGTCTTATAACCATCGCACTAAGGTCTGGATTGGCTCCATTGATCTCTGTTAACTCCTTTCACAGATTAAAACGATTGGATCTGAGTTTGTAGTGATGTATGTAATGCGCCAGAGTGAGAGGGACGTTTAGCCTAGCTTTAGCCATCTCCTTTGCCACTAACTGAGCCCGTGGGGAGTAGAGCCACAACATATTTGCCAACAATTACATTAGATAACATTCCTCTTGCTTCAATTTCTTGATATTTGTTCGGCTTGAGTCAAACCAGAACGGATTACTTTAGCAAAGGATTCGATTGTAAACTTCAACTAACAAATGCAACATAACGCTTGACATCACTGACACCTACAAAACCTGCCTCCCTCGATCGCTGATTGGTCGAATGGGATACAACTGAGGTAAATGCAGCCACTAGGATTGTTAAGTCTTTTAAAACAGAAGAGGCCCAATGTCTGACAAATGTCTCTGTAATAGAGAAATATTGAGCTCCAAATGCAATAAGATGTGATATGCACAGTACAAGTGCAGTGACAATCACAGATAACATTTGGATTAAAGCTCAGCATCAAAGCAGCAGCGGCATGCTGCCTTTTGAGATGGAGCAAGATTACAGAGAGCATAATGTCACTGGAATTGCTGGGTTGCAATCACGTGGACCGAAGGGGATATGGCAGGGGGCCGTAGGATTTTTTATTTTTTTTTCTTAACCTATTAGACAGGGCAATGTGGGAAAACGGCACGTGAGCTTTTCGAGGCTTGATATAACTTATTTGGAGTGAAAACTATTTTCAATGCTGTGTACGCTGTGAATACTTAGAATGAGTTTAATATTTTCAACAAAGGAGACTGGTTCAAACTTGCGTTTTCACCTGAAACAGTCTTGAGTGGAACAGCTCAGATTCGCTGCTCAGCGGGGGATGTTTCACAGCTTTGTGAATTCTAACTAGCTACGTGTGCTTCGAGCACTACACGAAGAATTCTACTCAAACCATGCAAAGCTGTAGTTTTAGTTTCGCAAATCCAGAACGATGTGTTCTTTCACATCTTTGCGGCGGCCTGAGGAGGATGTTGAATGAAAATACTGCTGGGGGTCAGCTCTCTTCCTGCGGTCCAAACGCTGCAGAGGAGCCTGGTCGTTTTTGCAAATTGCTTTCATGTAACATTTGCGCAGCGTAGAAACGAACACAGCAAAACCTTGTGGCAATGAGCTCAGAATAATACTTTAAACATTAAGTAGTATCCGGTCCTCACCCCTGCGGAAGACGTGGAAATAATGAACAATCACTTTTAACATGCCTTGGTCACTACAACCGTGTACCACACAAAAATACCGCATTGTATCTCGGTCACTGAAGTGAAGATGACTGTCAGTTAGAGGTGCAACGGTTCATCACTGATTTGTTCGGTTCAACGTCTTCGGTTCGGTACAGGCGTGATCCGCGGTTTGATTTATGAAAAAAAAGTTGTGCGCACATTGTCCAGTCCACACACAGCACGGTCATTGCGAGCGGAGGAACGGAGATACTTGAAAGCCCTGCGCCATTTAAATCCCTGTATGAGAGCATTTTGGCTTCACTGTAACTACACTGATAATTAATATTTGACAAAACTGTCAGTGTGTAAGCACTGTGGCACAAGAAAGACATGAGTGGAAAAAAAGCGCCTCAATGACCGCTTATTGTCGCGGCATGTAAGCAGCTCCTTTACGCACAGTCAGACCGGGCTAAAGTCAACTCTCCCGCGCATCCTCAGCTGCGCTCACGACTGACGCTTGGACGTCCCACGGAACCTATAATAGATCCATGAGCGGAACCGCTCACTTCATCACCGCAGACTGGGAGATGAGAAGTCTGGCGCTGCAGACACGCCCCCTCTACGACAGTCACACAGCGCAGGTACTGACACAAGCAGCGGAGGAATGAAAGACAAAGGCCCAGTACTAATATCCCAGTCACAACTGATAATGCCAAAAATTAAATAAATGCAGTGAATGAGGCTGGGCCCAGAATGGACCCCCTCCGCGGGAGAATCAGGAAGGTTTAATGTATGAGGGTAAATATCCTCATAAAGTGCCTTCTTATGTTGCACTTTGTGTTATTTTTCATGAATTAAGTTAAATAGACATAATTGGATGGATGGAATATGCCATCCATCCATTTTCTTCCCCTTATCCATTTCTAGGTCAGGGGGGGCAGTCAGAGCAGGTGCCGAGTCCACATAAGCTGTGTTTATTAAAAAGACAAAACTTTTTTTGAAAAATGAACTGAACCAAGGTACGAACAGAGATTTTTTCAAACCGTTGCACCCCTACTGTCAGTAGTGTTGGTGGCAGATGCCACGCCGGCTAAAGCATATATTCCGTTCCTGTTTAGGTATTTTACAAAAATAATCAACACCCGTTGGAGTTTCCCTTTTGCTCAAATATATTTATATGTACTCTGCTTGATGCGAGCAGTTGCCACAATTGTACACGCCGATTTTGAATCAATGAAGATTGAACGAATAGATTTTCCTCCTGTCAGCTGGAACTCAGTAACGACAGTGTTTAACTTTCCCCAACAAACTTTGACCAACAAAATGGGATCTCATTATTGTATAAGCTAGTGCGGTCCCGGAACTGGCCCGAGCGGCAGCTGTGACCACCACAAGCTCTTGGACCTGGTGGCCTCATGTGTAACAATCCACTTATTCGACCTTACTGCTATGGCAACTAATGGGAGAAACGGGACATCTGAAAGGGGTGCAACGAAAGGAGAGTAGAGGGAACTCCTGCCCATGCAGCAGCCAACACAGGCCTGAGGAACGAGAATGGTGCCCATGCCACTGCTGCCCCTCTGACTGGCCAGTCTCCCCAGATTAAAGAAGGAGTTCCCCATATGGGGGCCTCGTCATCAAATCTGACTTTCTTTGTATTAATCTTTTTTCTCTTCCCAGAAACCATTTCAAATTGTCAATATGCAAGATATGACAGTTCTTTCATGTCTAAATTCCCCACATGCGTCTAGAGCAGTGCTTATGTAGGGGGCGAGAATATGAATTGAAGCTGATAAGGTTTATTCATTGTGCAGCAAAATAAAAAAGGGAAAATAATGCTTGAAGTCAACTTCAGGTTCAACAATGAATCACATGTAATTGGTTATTGCCAACAACTTTATAATTCAATTAATGCATTTTTGCAATTGATTGTATAATTAAAATTTAAATGTGCTATAAAACATGTTTACACTAGCCTGGTCGTACCACACCATAGTACAAATGACATTTCGTACTAAGGCAGGTGCTCTATTGAGCTCTGTTTACAGGTGGGTTTTGTAGATTGAAACGATTGGATCTGAGTTTACCGTGCCCTGTAGTGCGCCCGAGTGAGTTGTTAGCATTTAGCCTAGCCATCTCCTTTGCCGCTAACGGAGCCTGCGGGGAGTAGCGCCACAATTTTTTCCAGCGATTACATTTGTTAAACATTCCTATTGCTCCAGCTTCAATTTCTTGATAGTAAAGTATTCCGGTCTGGTTCTATCGCATTTTTCGCCAAACTACAACCTGCCTGTTCGACGCAAACTCTTGACATCACTCACAGCTAACTACAACACCCGCCTTCCGCGCTCTCTGAATGGTCGGTCGAAATTCAACCGATTGTAATCGCTAACACAGGGACCAGACCCAGACGTTACATGCAGTGAAATGATGATTGAACGGAGTGTATGGATGGCTAAGGCCAGGCTATGTTTACACGGCTTCAAACAAAGATTGTAATTGGTGAATCTATCATTGCTGAAGAGTTACTAATTCTGATGTTTTTGTAGTGCACTACTTTAGTCGCACAATAATATAGCGTTAGTACATTTTAAGCCATGTTTCCACACTTCATCCGTTCCAATCTTCAGCTGGAGATAAGTGCAAAAGTAAAGCGCCCCGTTCCCTCGACACAGGCGGCTGGTGTGAGGCTCCGGATGGAAACCCTATCTCTCTCAGAATGTCATTAGCCTTATCTGCGAGTGGCAAGATTGTACTGGGCAGTTACCCGCGGGGCAGAAGCGTTGCTCCGGCCCGTCGAACAGGGCCAGGTTCCTCTCCACGGGGATGCTGTCGTCCCGCAGGGTGAGGTGGGCGGGCTGGTCCCCCTCGTGGTTGGTCCCACTCAGAGCCACGGACGAGAGCAGGTCGAAGCTGATCTTCCCGTCGGGCTTGGGGTAGTCTATGGGCGTGCACTCCTTGGCAGGTTTGAGCTGGTCCGCGTCCAGACCTGCAGCCAAAGACCAGAAACTGTTCATTATCAAAATGTAAAAGTCAAAGATACTAACGCACAAGCAAAGACGACATGTTCCTCTGTCTAAAGCTGGGATACGTAACTTTCAAGCCACAAACAGTTTACCTCAATGTGCTGGAAAGTAGCTCTGAAACATTTTGGACTAGTGTTATTTTTTGTTTTACTATTTTTTCTTCTACCTGTAAATGTCATTGCAGTAGAGAGTTCATGGTTCTACACTGATCCAGACCAGAGCAGAGGCTGCATGGTCCCAACCAAACAGATCAAGCTGAAATCCACTCGAGGAATTAGTTTTTTTTTTAATTGAAAAAAACTAATACATCATTAAACATTTCACTCTGGTCCAAACCGAGCAGACTCTGTAGACAACAGCCAGAGGAAAGGAAGCAGCTCATCACCAGTGGCTGCTCTGACCTTTGTAACTTTTAAAATGATGTATTTGTTTGCAGGGATAGATGTGTTTCTGCTGCTGGACACCTGCATTTATTCTATGAAGATCGATCCATCTATGGAACTCCATTCAAGTCATTCTTGTTTAGCTCTTGAATTCTCCAACACAGATCAGAGAATCAAACGGTTCAAACACAAAGAATAGGTATTGGTCTATAGAGGGAGTTGACCAATGTCCATAAGTGTTGAATGTTAAGCGTCCTGGATCATCACCACTGTCTTTTGGTTAGACCCACTAACAGTCTGACAAATCCTCCTACATCGACAAAGAAATACTCTCAAACCCAGTGGGGAAAAAGTGAGAAAACTTGGGAGAACCACAGTGAGAGGGATCCATGAGATGTTATAGAATGCATCTCATCATATATATATACTCTAAAATAGTCAGGTAAAAAGCTGATCTTAAAGCTGCACTAACTGACTTTGGGATTTTGAAGCCGCGGACTCGCTGGCCTCTCTCTTTCTGCTCCCCTCCCCGCACCCACGAAGCTATCGCCCCCCCACACACACCCACTGTTGGGACGGAGCTAGCGTCTCTCAATATGGATAATACATGGATATGGATTTTCACGTGGATGCCGTGACCATAGAACGATAGAACCGGGAAGCGCGGAGGAATGAGACTTTCTTTTGGATGGCTGTCTCGCTGTGTAAGCAGTAACCGGTGACGAAGACGAGGAAGCTTCAGGTTAGCTCCGATGCTTGTTGTGCTAACTCAGCTGTCTGTGCTAACGGACCTGTAGATTTCTCACGAAAGTGGGGGCTAGTGGTCCACTGTGATTGGTCACAATCTGAGACCCGAAACACATTCTCTTCCTTGTTTCATCAAAACTCGATCTAAAATATAATGTCACGCCAGCACAAACCTGCGCTACTTTTTCTTCAAAAGGACGTATATCCCAATGCACTACATGGACATGGATAGCATTTTCATAATGAATACAAAAATAAAGTCAGTTAGTGCAGCTTTAAGATGTGACAAAGAGAAGACTACCCTCTAAGCCCTGTGAGTCAAATAGTGACTCACAGGGCTCCTACTTACAACTGCTGAATGATGTCTGATTTGTTCACAACATTTTACTTTTACAAGACTTTCTGATAGACAAACTTATAAAAGAAAGTTGGGTAACCCAGCTTTAATACTGTATATGTCACCACTAACCAGGTTCTAACATAAACGGCGGTCCAACATCGCTCAAAGTTATGCCTGTTGTAATTTCATATTAGTTATGATAATGCTGATACTGATAAAAATCTATAGTTTTGTTGATACAATTTTTCAAAAAGCCAACCCATGATAATGAGGTATTCTTACAATTATGCCAAAATGTGCTCTTGGCGTGTCCAGGGCTCGACATTAACGGTTGTCCGCTTGCCTGGGGCAACTAAAGATTTGGGACGGGCAAGTGTGCTGTTTAAGCAAGTTACCTGCCGGGCAAGTGATGTATTACTTTAACCCATTCAATGCGGGAATGCATTCCCGCAATTCTTCCTCTGGAGCGGACACGTCCGATTATCTTTTTTTTGACCAATTCTTTTCAAAATGTTATTATTATCACGGATCTGCAATTCCCGACTGTTTTCTGCTGACAATGTCATTTCTGTGAAATGTATTACCGCGGGAACTTTCTGTTTGCTGTACGGACTCGAACGGGATTTACATCCTCCGCTCTGATCCCGGGAGCAGCTGCGGCAGCTTTGTAAGGACAGCCGTTTGGTCAACAGCTCAGTGAACACAGCCATAACGTGGTACCGAGCACAGACATGTGGATAGAACCATAGACACGTGGACCATCGACACGCGGACAGGACCATTGACTGAGGTAAAGTTAGTTTTATATTGGATATTCGACACATTCAACTAATCTATTTAGCCCTTTCACCTTTAGGCCCTTTGCCTACTGGTCCCGCGCACATGAAACAAAGCTTATTTTTTCCATATTCCCTTTTGTTGATTCTTTATGAATTTTTAGCTATAAAAAAAACCCTTTCACCTTTTGACCTCTTTATGAGAACCATTCCCAGCTTGTTGCAAGTGCAGGTCTCCCCCGTGTCTCCTACCTATGCATAACCAAAACTCACAAAATTAAAGCTCAGGTACCTAAATTTCCCCTTGCATTAAAAATGCATGTTGGTTTTGCACAAAAGTAAAATGTTGTGAACAAACAGAACACACCACGACATACCTAAGAGCCCTGTGAGTCATTTGACTTTTTTGGCAGGGAGTGAATTTTTTTCCACAGTTAGTGCCACTTTATTGCCGATCTCGTGTTGACTTATTGTATTGATAAATATTTGGGCAAGTAACTTTCGACATTGGGCAAGTAAAATATAAATGGTAGTTGCCCGAAGGGCAAGTGGCTGAGAAAGCTTAATGTCAAGGCCATGTCAGGTTCTTTTTCAGTCTCTACATTTTATCATAATCTATATACTCTGTTGTGGGAACATTCAAATATATTCAATCTGCAAAATAATTATGGCCGTACTGACTAATATGGGCAAACATAATAAAATGTATGAATACTATATGAAGACAATATTGACGTACATTGGCAGTTCCACTCAGAATAAAGAAAATCTTCCACAGAGAGTCGCCATTATAACATCGATATGGTGATTTCAGTGGACTCCTCTCAGTTCCCATCCTACACTCATACTCTGAATCAGCCTAAGCCCTCACCGCAGTGCTTGAGGGTCCAGGGCTCCATGCCGCGGAGGATCCAGTAGAAGAGGCCGGTGTAGACCATGCCCCCGTACAGCCCAAAGTAGTTGTGGAAGGACGGTCGGATGTTCCTCACCGCGTGCAGCTCTTTCCAGATGGACGAACTCTTCAGCGCCTCACTGTACTCGGACACATCCAGACCTGGCAACAAAACCAGAATGAGGTCTTCAGATTATTACAGCACAGTTTGGCAGGGAGTAAAACACAGAGGACAGTGGTAGTTGGGGATAAAGCCATGATTAAAGCGGTCACTGTTTCTGTGGCACAATCCTGGGTCCATAAGGGGGAACATTCTGTCACTCCTATTGGCCCTCATTTATGAAACTTGCACAGAAAAGGGTGTAGATTTTTGGTGTATATTCCATTTACGCCAGACTCAAACGCAGGATTTATGAACGTGTGAGATCTGCACAGATCTGAGCGTACGCAGCCGCGGCTGTAGATAAATGCCGCGCTCAAAACCAGCGTATTTATGAAAGTCACGCCTTGAAATATTCAGATACTGCCTGTTTCTGTTCTGTTTTTACGACAGCTCAGCATGGAAGTCGACCAGGAAGTCTGGAGCCGCAAAAGGCTTGTTAGTGACATGCACCAAGTTTATATTGAGTTTTATTTTATTATTTTGTCAAAAAAGTGTCTAGACCCACTGCAGCACTCATCTCTCTTGAACTTTAGAAATGAATGAATTAATTAATTAATATCTCAGCGGTGACTCTCATCATTAACTGGGTCAAGCGTCAGCGACATCTTGTTGTGAATGCAATGGAGCAATCTCTGTAAGAGAGAACGGATGAGTTTGGGAAGTGTCCGTGATATCACAGAGAAACTCAAACGTCTGAATGACACGAACCACATACTGTTTGGCGAGTGCGGTGGGACCTCTGTGGCACCCGCTGCGCACTTCTCAAAGAGCCACTGCTCGTGAGCCCATTCCTACAGATAAGGGCCTTGCCATATCTCTGCCATCGCAGCGTTTTTATGGGGCTTTATGCACAAAACTAATGAAATAATACATTGCTTTGCCAGAGGTGAATGAGACAAAACAAACAGCCATGCGTAATTACAGAGCGCAGGGTCTGCCACAGATTTATGGAGAAATAGATGGTCACCCAGTAAGTAAGTAAGCCAAGTGTAAGTGTATTTGGCAAAAACTGGTACCAGCCGAGTTCTACCTCTTTATTTCTAATCACAGGATGAAGCGCTCTCCTCCTCTTCTTCTGTCATTCAATCGTATTCATTATAAAAAGGTACATTCATATTTATTTCTGGATGTGTTCATTTTTTACCCTTGAGCTATCCTCTGGTCCTATTACACACTGAAGTGATTTAAAAATACCCCAAAAAATGGTCGAGCTGAATTTTGATGATTTTTCCAAACTTTACCTGCCCTGGGTCATTAGTAAGTAAGTAAGCTTTATTTATACAGCGCCTTTCACAGACCAAGGCCACAAAGCGCTTCACAGTTTAAACAGGTAAAAACAGACAAAATACAATTTAAAATGTGCGTATACAAAAAATAATACAAAATATACAGTCAATATAATGGCCAAGACAACTCAGTGACAGGTTTAAAACAGCCGCAAGAAAATTATGTAAAAGCTTGCCCAAATAAATAGGTTTTTAGATTAGATAGCATAAGGGATAAAATGAAAATGTGATCCATCCCTAATTGAGATTGGGAGTGCTGAAGCCGTTCCCATGAGTCTCCTAATGGCTCAGACTGGAACCTCATTTTTTCACTTCCTTTTCTTGCAGCTCTGGAGTGGAACCCGGAGTGACTTTAGCAGCGAGATGTGACTGTGCCTCTCATGGACGCACTCTGCTCTCTCCGTTCTCGTTCAGTAACTCAGAGAAACTTGTGAATGCCGTAATCAGCCGACCTTTCCGCCGGCCGCATGTAGTCATGTGACATCACCATCAACCACAGATCGATGAGTTTGATGGACAGAACCTGCCACAGCTTTGAATCAGTGAACCGGACTCTGAGAGGCACCGGCCCACAGGGAAATGTGGAGACGACGAGTGGGACGAGTTCTAGAACAAGCTGTGACATTATACTTACTGTATGTTGGAAATGCAGTCCAAGGACATAAGTTTGGTTTACAAGAATGAAAAACAACTCTCACTCAATATCATTGCGTCAGATGTTGTTGGAGACTAACTTTGTGTACTGGGAAGAATAATGATAAACTGTATTTATTGTGTGTATAAAAGTATTTTGCCCTCAATTCATGTCATATAAGAAAACCGTTATTCGTCCCACAATGGGGGAATTTCACTGTTGCAGCGCACATGCAGGACAGCATTGATCCTCATTCTTATATACATAAAATTTATGTAAAGTTATATACATATAGGGCAACGATTACAGACAAGTGGCGGGATGTGTGCGGTGTTAGAATGTTTTTGTGGAGTTACCTATCGTGTCGGATGCCAGGTCTTCGGCCGTGACCTTGGGGAAGATGGCCTCCGCTGCCAGCATGCCAGACTTCATGGCTGTGTGCGTGCCTTTGATCTTGGGGACGTTCATGAAGCCGGGACTGCAGCCGATCAGCAGGCCGCCGGGGAATGTCAGCTTTGGGATGGACTGAGGACGAGAGGAGGACACTGTGAGCTGATGTGGAAACCTCTGAACTATGCAGTGACTTCATGGTCTGAAACAGGCAAAAATCCACTGGAGGAATGCTAACTTATTAAAAAATGCTAACAAAACATTCAGCATCTCACTTTGGACTAGAGCAGAGACAAAGGTCCCAACCAAGTGGCTACACCACCTCTGCTGCAGTGACCTGAAGTTCTGTTGCATTTTATACTATTTTTAGAAATATTTTAGAAATCCTTTTATTTGTTTTGTTTGCATGGATGGATGTGTTTCTGCTGCTACTGGACACCGGAATATCTCCTTCGGGGATCAATAATGCATCTATACATTAGCCAAAAAGAGAGATGCATTGTACCAGGTTGTAGCAGCAGTGCTAACTTACTTTAATTTAATTAAAAACACAAGTAGATGGATGACCAGACATAAATTACAATTTTAACTCTCTCTATACCAAGGGTCTCCAACCTGTGGCTTGGGAGCTCCCAGTAGCTCACCACCCCCTTTCAGGTAGCTCCCAATAGGATTCAAGAATCCAAAACATAATTTATTTTGAGTCACTACATGTCGATTTTGGCTATACATCTTTTCATTCATGCAGGGAGACTGTGCAGTGTAATTGTCTCTATGATTTTCTGTAGTAATTGTGTGTGTACAATTATAAACAATTATATTACGACAGCTAAAAGGAGAAGCTCTCTGTCATTTCTGTTTTATAAAAGTATCTCTTCCATGAAAAACGTTGGAGTCCCCTGCTTTCCTCGCACACACACCGAAATAACTGCTGTTGTGATTTAGGGCTACTGAATTGTACTATATAAATAAACTTGCCTTGCCTTACTGTGATCCAGTGGCGGAGCCACAGGGGTAGCCAGGGTGGCCACTGCCACCTCTAAAAATATCCTTGCCACCCCCAGTGCCCCCCTCGGAAGACGGCAATGTAATAATGTTAATCTTGAGAATCTTCCGCACTTTTTCCGGCAAAAGTTAAAAATTCCCACGGTTTCCCCCGTCTGTGAACGCACCCTGACTCCGTGTGGAGCCGGTGCTGTATGCTAATGTTTTGGGTTGTTGGACTCACATGTGCCCAAGTCGTGATGAAAACAAAGAGGTAAGTTAGCGATGCAGAGCCGTTTACATTTGACACAAAGTATAGACACACGTACTGCAGCATTACTGGTTCAGTTTGTAGAACTTTTAGTGTGTGTATGTGTGTGTGCGTGCCTGTGTGCGTGCCTGTATGCGCGCCTGTGTGCGTGTGTCAGCGTGCCATTGTGTCTGCGTGTGTATGCGTGCCTGTGTGCGTGCGGGGTGCATGCGTGTTTATTTTCCATTATTAATTGCCCATCGTATCATTGCCCTCTTCCCTTTAGTGTGAACGTGAAAAGAAAAGGAGGAAACATTGCCTACATGCCTTTTTTTGTTAGGAAAAGGCGGTAGATCAGCCTGAAGGTCAGACTCGGAGGCAGTATGTTTTGAGATGATGAGGAATTTGTTGTGTTGTATTAAAATATAGCTTATATAATTGAGTTTCAGAGAATGAGAGGGTGTCGCAGACAGGTGCAGGATTGTCTATTGGCAGAAGGCGTTTTTTCACACACAAAAAAAGAAACAAAATAGCTAAGATTATGGATGATGTGCAGTCGCTTGACCCCAACATTTTTTTGAAAGAAGAGCCCCTGTTTTCATTTGGCAGAACCTTTGAGTCAGATATAGAGGACCTTAAGCATGAAGTACGTCAAACTAGGCGGCTTCTTGGGAGGAAAAAATGGATTAGAGAGTCCCTGTTGGACTTCCTTGTCCTTTTGGAACGTTTGGAAAGTGTTTCAGCTTTTGAGGCTTGCAAAGATCTTTTTAATACCTGTCAGTACTGCGTCTTGTGAAATAAGTTTCTCTGTCCTAAAACTTATTAAAAACCATCTCAGAACGACCATGGCAGATGATTGAGTCATCTTGGTATCCTCAGTGTAGGGTAAAGGAGGCTCAAGGCTGAATATGGATGAGTTTGTCAACATCTTTGCTGCTTTACACCAGAACCGTAGGAATTTGCTAAATTTGCTAAATTTGTTAAAAGAAAAATGTAATGCAATGTTTGAATGATGTTATTTTGCACTTTTTTGTTCAGACTACTATTTAAATACACTTTTTTGCTTTGTAGTTTCCAAGTGTGCTCTCAGTTCACTTTATATTAAAAACAATGACAAGATTAAGATTAAAATGTATCGTTTAGCCAGTTTTTGTGCGAAATAAAATTTCGGAATAGTATAAATGTGGACCCCTCAAAAAAACCCTTGCCACCCCCTGGCCACCCTCTGTTTAAAAGTCTGGCTCCGCCACTGCTGTGATCATTCATAACTCTGACACAGTCCTGATAATCAGAGACACTTCTGGTTTCAGGGTTAAGAAGTGGAAAGTTTTGGCATCACCGTCACATCTGTTCTATTTTATACTAATATCTGAGCTCAACATTCTCAAATATGAATGTTGTTGCTGGGCTATACGATCACATTAAAATGATTGCGCAACATTGAAATATACTTTTCACAGCTTTCTGCCATGTTGTGGTAATTTTCTCTTATTATAATAAAAAACGTGTTCAAATACAAAAACAAGACCAAATCAATAAAAAGACTAGATAAAATATAATAAAGAAGGAATGCTAAAACAGGGGAGTACACTTCCTCTGTAAATGTGTCTTATATATTTAGTAAACCTCTTAAGATAAAACAATGTAATAATTGTGAGCTACAAGTGCAATCGATGATTATTTACAGAATCACAATATGTCCATTATAGGATAAGATAAGAAATCCTTTATTTGTCCCACAGTGGGGAAATTTCAATGTTGCAACCAGTGGGGGCGCTGACATACTTGCAATACCACCCCGGGCCAGTGGGAGTGGACTTATATAGTATTATTCAATGCTTATGTATAGCATCCAAGCCCCAACGATCCAAGATGGCGCCATATTCAAATGAATGGTTTGTGCTCAGTGGTGCATTGTGCCCCCATGGGGGCTGAAAGATTAGCGGAAGTCACCTGTAACTCACAAAGATCCATGGGAAACTCGCCTGTATTTGGGCATCGTCTGGTCCTCCCGATTCTGCGCAGTGGATGATCTCCCATAATGCGTTGCGCCAAATAGTAAGTAAGTAAGTAATCATTATTTATATAGCGCCTTTCACAGACCAGAGTCACAAAGCGGTTTACAATTGTTGTGGGCATTTGTCTCTCGCTCCACACAGAGATGGAGCGGGGTCGCCAGTACAGGAGGCGCATGCCAGACCTATTGGACATGTTTTTAGTAGTAGGGGAAACCGGAGTACCCGGAGGAAACCTACGCAGACACGGGGAGAACATGCAAACTCCACTCAGAAAGGCCCTGGTCCGACCGGGATTCGAATCCAGGACCTTCTTGCTGAGAGGCGAGAGTGCTATCCACTCAGCCACCGTGCCGCCCTAAATACGCGTGTGTGGCTCTTATGCACGTGCACAGAGGGGCTCGGCCTCGCTTTGACCAATCAGAACTGTTCAACAGAGCGGGAGCCAGACGAGCAGAGTTTGTGGCACTAAAGTGTGGATTTAAAGAAAACCGAAGGATTTAAGAAGAAAAAAAGTTCAGGATAACAAGGGACACTAAAGTCCCCACAAAATCCGACCTTGATGAAAGCTGTAGGTTCTCTGTCAACTGAGGTCGAGCTGTTTTAGTTTACATTGAGTTCTATGGGAACATTTCTGGGTAGCCCACGTGAATTTAATCTGGTTTAGTCTGCAGTACCGCGAGAATCCCCTGAGCACATGGTTATTCAGCTCCAAGCTAGTAATACCCTATCCAGATATTATAATAGATCCATGATAGCCTCTTCTTACCTCATGAAAACGTCTTTACAGGATGGTCCTAAAGTCGCTCTTGGCCCAAAGCCTCCTCCACATGTGTCATTGCTCAGGGGAGTATATATTTTTTGGACCACTCTAGTTTAGCCGCAGTGGAATTTTGAAGGCACTCGAAAAATGAATGGGCTCGTGCCGGCTATCGCATGCGCAAATGTGTTTTTTCACATTTTCCAGCCCTTGCGGCCATTTTGAAAAGACCCATAGGCCATAGCACACAACATACAATATATGTAGCTCCTATGTTTCTTAGTGTAAAGTTGTATAGATGTCTGGCAGGACAATAAGTGCTGTTGATATTCAGAGGACTGTCTGAAATTCCACTATCACAAATTGCACATGATTTCAGTACGCGCCTTGTAAATAGATTACTCCTCCCAATGACATCAAATGAGCTGCAGTAAACTAAAGACTAGTCTACATGTCTGCGATGATGATTGAATGCAAATTGAAAAGCTACGAGAAGCCTTCATGTTTCGCCCGTGTTACCACTAATGTTACCCCTGTATTGTGGTCCTCTGCTGCTTTCACCTTCTACTTTTCCTGATTAGTGCAAAATATGCTTCCTTCCTTTCAGTCAATTACAATTACACATAGGCGTTGCAATAAATGATTTACTAAAGTTAAAATGAATCCAAAAAAAATAAAAGAAGCAACAAGAGTAATGGTCAAACATGAAGAATTCCCGTGGGCTTTCTAATCAGACATGTCTCAGTCTCATCTCTCCCCACAGCCGCACGACCCACCGATGTGACAGCAGCTCGTCATCAAATCAGATTTCAATGACATGTTTCCATAGCAACAGAAATTAGGACTCTGCTAAACAACTTGATCTTTGTGAGAGTAAGTTAACTTTTAGTAAAGCCACAACGATTAGATTTAACATATTATAAAGTTATCTTTTTAATGAGCTAATTAAACTGGGAAGATAAAGAGTGTGCACTGCTGAAAGGGTTTAATTAACTGTGAGCATGTAAGGAAGTACAGAGCAGTGTTCGCTTACAGTGATCTGCACACAGCCTGTCCCTTTAGAACCAGGAAGACCCTAGCCTGGTCGTACCACACCTTAGTACAAATTACATTTCATACTAAGGTCTGGAGGTGCTCCATGGAGCTCCGTGAACAGGTGAGAGGGGTTAACTCCTTTTGTAGATTGAAATGATTGGATCTGAGATTACCTTGACGTATGTAATGCACCCGAGTGTGTTGTTAGCATTTAGCCTAGCCATCTCCTTTGCCGCTAACGGAGCCCGTGGGGAGTAGCGCCACAATCTTGACCAGCGATTACATTTGCTAAACATTCCTCTTGCTCCTGCTTCAATTTCTTGATAGAACCAGACAGACTACTTTACTATCGCATTCTTCGCCATTGCCAAACTACAGCCTGCCCGTTCGGCGCAAACTCTTGACGTCACCGGCACCGACCTACAACACCCGCCTTCTGCGCTCTTTGAGTAGCCGGTCGAAATACGACCGATTGTATTCACTAACACAGGGACCAGACCCAGACGTTACATGCAGTGAAATTAAGAATGAGCGGAGTGTTAACGATGGCTATGGCCAGGTTAGGAAGGCCCAGGTCCCTGTTCTGAAGACCTCTCACATGAGACCAGGACTCATGTGAGAGGTCTTCAGAACAGGGACCTGAGTCTTGGTCTCAGAGCTCTGTCCTGAGGCCCTCTCAGGTTAGTCCTGGTCTAAGGTCTCTGCGTACATGTCTCCCCGTGGTGTTGCACCAAAGTGACATGTTAGTGCCATATGAACCAACTCTGAAGAGCAAAGGGACTCAGACTCCTGCTCAGACTAAACATGGGGAGGGGCGTGAGGGGCAACCTGGAACAGTCTTCCTAAAAATGTGTGACGATGTTCAAATCATGAGCAGAAAGTGTTACTGTGGATACAGTACATGTGACTGTGGACCATAAAGAAGAACATGCCCCTGTTTACTTTAGATTAGAAACATGTGAAACACGTAAACCAACACACTCAATGCACTGCCATAAATACATTTTAATTAGATGTTTTGAACAGTCACAGCACCACTGTTTTGTTTGCACATCATATATGGAGGAGACATTTGAACTGCGCTCTAGACATTTAATTAAAATGTGTGGGCAGAAACAGTTATGCAGAGAACAGGAGGAGCAGGGAACGATCACAACAATCATCCCTGATCATAAATAAACAAACAAAATAAGTTAAGAATGGACTTGTTGTTTACACTGTTTGATTCTATAGTTGAAGCTGATCCAAAGTGATGGAAAATAAGTTAAATTGGCTTAAATTTGGCTGAATGTATATTAATTGGAGCACATTCTGACTGCCTTGAAAGTCAAGAAGATTTTGTTTTAAAAAGATTCAAGAAATGTTTCTCCTGGAACGAGAAAACGCAGAAGTTCTTGAAATAAGACGGCTTATTTCCCGTTGGCCAATCTTGTTTTAAGACACTCAGAAAGTACTCAGTATAAGATAAAAAAGTCAATCCAAGCAATTATTACCTCATATTGTATTATTTTTTGCAGTGTACAGCCAAGTCATCAAACTGACAAACATGAAGATAAGATTATAAATACTTCTGAGACCCTCAAGCCTCACAATGAGAGATGCTTTTATACTCCCAGCCACACTAGTTGTGTAGACTAGGCTGCGGTCACAAACACAACCTAAGCCCAGTTAAAGTGGGCCTAGGCTGATCATATTTGACACACACTGGACACACAGACCTGGTAGCCTCCTTCGTTGAGGGCCCTGGCTCCGTAGGCGATGCGCTGGCCCCCCTCCAGGGTGGGGGCCACAAAGGGATGGTGCTTCCAGCGCTGGAACTCCCTGAAGGGGCTCAGGTACGGATTGCTGTAGTCTAGTCCGATCTGTGTGGAGAAGGACCAAGAGAAAGAGGGTTATGTTTGCAAGCCGGAGGAAATGTCCCGGTTTATTTCAAACTAACTCCATTAATATAATCATTATTTTGTGTGTGTGGATACCATGTGTTATTAGTAACTTTTATACACATACACACTTTGACACATTTCTTCTATGGGGATCAAAAAAGTATATCTTTATCCATCTATGTGTCCTCAAAAGTCTAAGTCAGTCACTGCAGAGAGAAAAAAAAAAAAAAAAAAGAGTATTTTATTGTTATTTTAATGCATTGCAGAACTCTGACCCATGCTTACTTGCATGTTATGGTTGCTTCCTTCACTCATGTCATTCTTTTACAGAGATGCTGTGACGGGGTTCCATTGAATGACAGAAACATAGTTCAGGCGACTTCCTGTTGTAGATGATGTGGATATTATTTATAATCAGCTCTTTCCTCGGCTCTAAAGTCGTTATTCACTTTTTCACCCTTTGTTTTACTCCAGTTTGAACTCTTCCCTATAACTTTAAGGAAAAGGGATGTTGGCCCTCGCTGTCCGTTAGAACAGTGTTTTTCAACCTTTTTTGAGCCAAGGCACACTTTTTTCACTGAAAAAATCTTGCGGCACACCTCCAGGAGACAATGTAAAAATGTATACAGTACTAATGTAAAAAAATATATACTGTACATACTCTGTGTGATATATAAAGTTTATCTTATCTTATAATGTATACAGTATACTCTGTAGCCTATATTCACAATATACAATTATTCTCATCAAAATGCTTAAGTCCAGGCCTTGAAATTAAGCTTTATTTAATATTTCTCGATACAATTAACAAGAGTTTGGGAATAAAGTGGCACTAACTGTGTGGAAAAAAACTAAGAAAATCCACTCTCTGCCCAAATAGTCAAATAATAACTCACACAAAGAACATGCATTGTTAGTGCATGGGAAAAATTTAGGTATCCGAGCTTTAAATTCAGGAGTTTTGGATGAGGGACACGGGAGGTCCTGAACGCGAGTCCATGGTTCTGTCCGGTCCGCATGTCTGTGGTTCTGTCCACTCGACTATGGTCTGCGCTCGGTACCCAGTTCAGAAGTGCGTTCGCGAGAGCTGTTGTACAAAAATTGTACATTTCATAGTTAAACCACTACAACGCGGCCACAGCTGCCCCGGGGCAGAGCGGAGGATGTTAATCCTGTTCAGAAACGGCATAATTCATTTTCAAAAACGTCTCTATCACTTTCACTTCTCACTCGCCACAAAGCTCTTGTCTCGCTCCCTCCCACATTTGTTGGTCGCATCCAATTTTACCTTTCTCGCCACAATGCTGACCTGTAGCCAGTGGTCGCATCCAATTTTTCAGTTTCAAAGTACTTAGCTATCTGCTGCCATCTACTGATTTGAAAAAGTATTACATGGTTACTCCACAGTTCAAAACAAGTCACCGCTCGTCAACAGCGAATGCAGTTATTTTTAGACAAAGTAGACGAATTTCTCACGGCACACCAGACAATATCATACGGCACACTAGTGTGCCGCGGCACAGTGGTTGAAAAACACTGCGTTAGAACATAGCAACATTTCATCACATTGGGCAGTAGGGGTGGGAACCTAAGGGTACCTCACGATACGATACACGATACAAAGCTCACGATAACAATATTATCACGATAACGATATTATCACAATAACGATTATCGATATATTGGTCAGAAATATACAATATGCCAATTTATGGCATAAATAAAAGAAAAAATACACTTAATTTTATGATAAATGGAATGGAGATGCGTAATGTAGCCATATATTAAGTATTGATACCATTTTTTTTTAAAAATAATTGTAAAAAAAAAATGTAAGGTCTCCTCTGGGCGCTCCGGTTTCCCCTACCACTTATATACATGTACAGAAGATCTTAATGAAGCGAGCGAAGGAGATAGTTGGAGGCTTCGATGCACCACAGTGGTCTTCTGTCATCACGGTGTGTGGAGTGAATGGGAGTCACTGGTACTACTGGTCTGTGAAATGCGCTATATAGAAAGATTACTTACTTACGTATTTTTTATTAATAAAAGGCATGTCTGTTGTTTGAGATCAACTTTTTTCAACTGGAACTCTATCTCTGAACACAATCGGATTAAAAAGAAAAAAAACTACTAAGCAACTTCTTGACCCTGCATCTGTCATTTTGTATGGCAGAAGCGTCTGTTAGCCTTAGCAACACAAAACTATTACAAACAAGAACATGAGGAAAATTGTACTTTATTGTAGAGAAATGTGTCCTTTTCTCTAGCTTCAGGGCCTCTGATGTTGAAAGTAAAACAAAACAAAATTTGATGCTGAGATGATTTACCTTTTGTACATGTTTTAGGGCAGTGGTTCCCAAAGTGGGGGTCCCGACCCCCCGGGGGGTCGCGGGAACCCCTGGGGGGGGTCGCAAGATGATTTCCACACACACAAAGAAAAAAGATTTTTTTTTTTTTTAGCAAATATAAAGCCCTTAAATATTTATTTAGCATTTGATTTGATTCAAAAGGACTACTTGTTAAATTGTGTTTGGAGACTATAATATATTTTAATAACGTTAGTAATTTTGTCCCAGTCATTGCAGCGTCAATCAAAATCATCACGTAACACAGCTCACATCATGCGCAGCGACAAAGCGTGTCCTGCTGTTGTTTGCTAAAACTAAAGGTGTTTGGAGGCTACAAATAAATAATACCTGCTTTAAAATGAAACGTGGTTAATATCCACAACAGAAAAACCCGGAGGGGGAGAAAAGTCACTTGTATCAGGGGTCAGGCTGATGGTGCGAAGAGAGGGAGAGAGGGCAAAGGAGGGAGAGAGGGCAGCGGAGGGAGAGAGGGCAGCGGAGGGAGGGAGGACAGCGGCGGAACAGCGCTTTAAAGAGGCCCGGCTTTTCGGAGTCAAAGGTAAAGAGGTCCGCACATTAAAAGCGGGTGGCAGCTGTATGTTGTTACTGACAGTAACTTTGGAAAGAGAAGCCGCGGGGATGAACCGCATAAAGTAACAGCAGAAAGCGGCCGCCCGCTTTTAATGTGCGGACCTCTTTTCCGCTGACTCCGGAAAGCCGGCCCACTTTACCGCGGTAGGAGAACAGTGAGGGCGAGCCGCAAGAAATGCGCTCCACTTCTGCTGAGGAGGGAGCCTGACAAGCCCATCACTGTGTCACTACATGAGTAAAAATATGCAAGCCTCCTTTTTTGGGCTGGACAGTGCAGCTCGGTAGTGGCGTGAGTCTCTAGAAAGCGTTACTCCGTATCAAGGAAATACATGCTCATTTCATGTGACGGAAGGGCTGTTGGGGGGGGGGGGGGGGGTCGCGGGCTAGCAGGGCATTTATGATGGGGGTCGCGGGCTAAAAACTTTGGGAACCCCTGTTTTAGGGGATGGGGGGAGGAAACTGGAGCACTTGAAGGAAAATCAATCAGACAAAGAACAGGCCAACACAGGATCGAACCTACAACCTTCTCCCTGTGAGGCCACCATGCTTAAGCAGTGACCGTCAGCCTCATTCTTTGTGATAACACTGGATTCTTACCAAACTCTCAATGAAAGGGCCTGTACATTCCGTTGTGTATCAAGTCCATGACCATGAGTGATCTAATTCTGTATGCTCCAAGCTGCGGTGGTTTTGATCTCAATGGCGATTTTTTTTTCAGACATGACCTTATAATTGAATTACCTCTATTGTGACTAAACAATGTGGAGGACCGGGAACGCTTTATTTGCATGTTTCTATGTCAAGTCCAACCATATCTGGATGCTTTAATATTTGCAGTCTATTCAGCTCAAACTCCACAATCTAAGCCAACATGGACACACTGCTCTCTCTGTTAACAAAATCAAACCAGCGCATGTCTTGATAAAAGGAGGAAATCAGTGGACACTATGAGGAGATTACTTCATTTAATTTCTAACGGCCAAAGATCTTAACTGTGACAACTTCCGATTCTGTCCAATGATTGCACAATGTCAAAACTGAAAATGATCTAGATCAGGTGTGAGCAAACTCGTCCTCACTGAGACTCTATATCCTCAGGTGAGTCCAGTTTTAACCTCCACCCAAGTCCTGTATATGAGGAGTGGAGTCTGGCATGTCCTGCTCAGGCTGAAACTAAAACCTGCAGCCACACTGGCTCTTTAAGGACCCAGATCTAGGGCCACTGAATCATCTCCCTTCCAAATCAAAGTATTACGTACTCCAATGTCCAGTCCCCACTCACCACAAAGCCCAGGGCCACCAGCGGCTCTCCTTCGTTGAGGTGGTAGAGGAAAGAGCCTCCGTACGTGTGTCTGTTCAAAGGCCAGCCCACAGAATGCTCCACTCGGCCTGGGCGCCATTTCTTCTCATCGATGGTCCACACCTGCAGGGAGAACATGTTTACACTGTGCTCTGTGTGCGTGTGTGTTTGTGTCTGGGGTCTCCCTCTGCCTCTCTTTGTCTCTCTTTCTGTCTCCTTCTGTCTCCTTCTGTCTCCGTCTGTCTCTCCGTCTGTCTCTCCGTCTGTCTCTCCGTCTGTCTCTCCGTCTGTCTCTCCGTCTGTCTCTCCGTCTGGCTCTCCGTCTGTCTCTCCGTCTGTCTCTCCGTCTGTCTCTCTGGCTCTCGCTGTCTCTCTCGCCGTCTCTCTCGCCGTCTCTCTCGCCGTCTCTCTCGCCGTCTCTCTCGCCGTCTCTCTCGCCGTCTCTCTCGCCGTCTCTCTCGCCGTCTCTCTCGCCGTCTCTCTCTCAGTCTCTTTCTCTCCGCCTCTCTCTCCGTCTCTCTCCGTCTCTTTCTCTCCGCCTCTCTCTCTGTCTCTTTCTCTCCGCCTCTCTCTCCGTCTCTCTCTCCGTCTCTTTCTCTCCGTCTCTTTCTCTCCGCCTCTCTCTCCGTCTCTTTCTCTCCGCCTCTCTCTTGCCCCGTCTCTCTGTCTCTCTTTTCGTCTCTCTCCCCGTCTCTCCACCCACGCGCCTCACCTCCTTCAGGCCGATGACGTAGGTCTGGGGCTCACAGTTCTCCCGGAGATTAAACTTCTGGTACAGCTGTTTAGCCAAGTGTCCGTGACAGCCTTCTCCGAAAATAGTGACCTTAGCATGCAGCTCCATCCCCCTCTCGAACACATCCTGGAGCGGATTGAGAGTGGGTCATAATGAGATTTGGAAACGCACTGCCATAAAAACAACAAAACACACAAGTCCTGTAGTGAGGCGTGTGGAGCAGTGCTGTGAGTTGGACAAGTCTGGGACACATAATGGATTACAATGTGATTGATGTTTTAAGCATGCACACCTCATATTAGCTATTAATCCAGTCTGAAAAGAAAGATTACAGTGGAGGTCCTCAATGTGGGCACTCGTTATCCCCCTCCCCGGCCATCCTCTCCTCTCCTCTCCTGTCTCCTCGCCCCAGTCCTGGATCTACAATCGAAGTCCTGCATCTACAGCCTCAGGCCTGCATCTACAGCCCAAGTCCTGCATCTACAGCCCAAGTCCTGGATCTACAGCCTCAGTCCTGGATCTACAATCGAAGTCCTGCATCTACAGCCCAAGTCCTGCATCTACAGCCCAAGTCCTGCATCTACAGCCCAAGTCCTGGATCTACAGCCTCAGTCCTGGATCTACAGCGTCAGTCCTGGATCTACAGCGTCATTCCCGGATCTACAGCGTCATTCCCGGATCTACAGCGTCAGTCCTGATTTTTTTTAAATCTAAAATAGAGCTTGTAAAAAATAAAACATTATAAAAGTTTATTTATGTTCATGTTGGACCCTCAACACAAGTTAATACCGTGTTGAGGGTCCATGTGTTTTTTGGTAAGGGATGTGCTAAAAATGCTTCAGAATCTGTGTCCCCAGAAGAAATGCATCCCCTGGTTTCTGTAAAAGAAAGTGTGTCGTGCAGCAGAGGAGCTTTTCATGTATTATCTACACATTTGCACCACGATGATACTGCAGAGTAAGCTGTGCATCACATAGACAGAAGACAGTGTGGCGTTTGAAGTGCAGTGAAAACACATACCATTATAAAGCCACGATGAGAGCGGACAAAACATATCTGTGGCCTCAGTGTCATGTACTTTAGAGATACGTACAAAAGCAGCAGTAGCATATGATTATTGTAATACAATACTGAACACTGTGGCCCAACACTTGTCACTCGTCATAAACTTGTTAAGTGTTCCCACAAGAAAAAGGAGTCGCACCTTTGGAGACCCGTCCTTGGCGATGCCCACGTCATTGGTTGCGATTCCCTTTACACTTCCATCTTCATGAAACAAAACCTAGAACACACAGTTCACTCATTTAGAAAAATGTGTGTTTATACAAATGGCACGCACACGAGATACCTTTTGAATATGCATCGATAGAAACAAGGACGACATGTATTGGACTTTTCCTGAGCAGGATTAGAAAGGTTTACTTAGATTTACTTAAATATTTTCATTAGTATCAGGCGCTTATCATCTTCTTTATTTATTTATAGAGGAACATTTTATAACTCTGTTTAGTCAGAAAAGGTGCTTTGGGTCAAAAAATTCAAAAATGTATTGGCCGATTGGCAAGAGAAAGTGACAGAACAGCATTTCCCAAACTGGGGGTCACAAAGCACAGGGCTGAGAGATGCATCATTACTTTCACTGTACATCGTCTGCATCGCAGTAACAATAGTTAGGTACAGTCACTGCCATAAACACTGCACATGAAAATCAACAAAACTAAATATTCTAAACTCTAAACACCAGACCCATAGAACTGTCTTATCTAGTATTGTATGGAAATGGGCTACTATGGCATGTTATACTTGATACATGACCAATGCTTTTAGGACACGGTCACACGGTTTTTACAAACTAACTGGGCCCAGTGGCCCAGATCGTTCCCACAGGGGTGTGAAAATGGCCCGCGGTCACATGAATGTGTCCTCTGAATCGTGCCAGAGAAACTGTGCTGTAGTAAAACGTTCGGTCCAGCTGGTGGCGCTAATACTAACTCCAGCGACTACCTCATTGTCCAAGTTGAGTTTCCACTTCTCTTCCTGTTTACGCTCTGCTACTGTAGCGCTAATAGCTCAAGCATTGCGTTGTTTAGGGAAAGACACATCTCACACTTGTCCACATTGCTCTGATGCAAAGTGCAGCAGTTCAGTGGGTAACATGTATGTGCACAGGTGTGTGTGTGCGTACGCCGCGGACACCTCTTTATTAACGAACGGGCTGAGAAATGAATGAATGAATGAATGAAAAGTGTGGCGTAGGAGCAGAGCGACTGGAGACAGGCAGAATATAAGTGTGTGTTGGTGTGTTCTGGCGATTAAATAAAGACTGCTTCTTGAATGTCTGATCCGGGGGCTTATATGAAAAGTTTAACACAAGCGGAGAATACAAAATTGCAGGAGAGACGTCTTTGAAAATGCGCGTCACAACGGAAGACGTAATGTGACGCACAATATTAAGTCCCCACCACACCTCATCCCCTACTCCCCACCACCCGCCACACTGACCCCCCTCATCCGGGGTTTGGAAGCGGGCCGGGGCCCACTTAAATCGGGCTTTAGGCTGCGCATGTGACCGCGGCCTTAGAAGCTCTTCGACAGTGAACCATCTCCTAAACCTCTACCCCAAATACATGTAAAACTAACTATCTAATTCTGGACCAATGAAGAGAACTGAAAAGTGGCCTCACCTCTGAAGCAGCGTACCCTGGGTAGATCTCCACTCCCAGCTCCTCAGCCTGCTCCCCTAGCCAGCGCACCACATTTCCCAAGCGCACAATGTAGTTCCCATGGTTCCTCATAGGTAGCCCTGGGAAAAGCAGATCAAATCAATCATCAACACCACACTTTTTATTAAGACAAACAGTCAACGGGTAGCACAAGCACCATTCTCTCCACTCGCCTTGCCTCAGCCCTAGATCTACAGCCTCAGTCCTAGATCCCCAGCCTCATTCCTAGATCCCCGGCCTCATTCCTAGATCCCCGGCCTCATTCCTAGATCCCCGGCCTCAGTCCTAGATTAACGGCCTCCGTCCTAGATCAACGGCCTCAGTCCTAGATCAAAGGCCTCAGTCCTAGATCAACGGCCTCAGTCCTAGATCAAAGGCCTCAGTCCTAGATCAACGGCCTCAGTCCTAGATCTACGGCCTCAGTCCTAGATCTACGGCCTCAGTCCTAGATCTACGGCCTCAGTCCTAGATCTACGGCCTCAGTCCTAGATCTACGGCCTCAGTCCTAGATCTACGGCCTCAGTCCTAGATCTACGGCCTCAGTCCTAGATCTACGGCCTCAGTCCTAGATCTACGGCCTCAGTCCTGGATCCACAGCCTCAGCCCTGGATTTTATATCTAAAAATTGAGCAAAACCGAATAAAAGAAAAACAACATTTGTTTATTTAATTGTCAAGATGAGTGACAAAGTTAATATTTTAGGAATGTTTAAGAGAGGGATGTGTTAAAAACTCTGAAAGTCTTAAGATTGCTTTTAACTGGAAAAGACGTTGGTCAAAAGCAGTGAACATGGACTGTACCGTTCATTTACACTTATGGACATTGGTAAACTTCCCTCTATGGACCAATACCTTTGTGTAATCTATTGTTTGTGTTTGATGAATTCAATGGTTTTGTCCTCTGAGATAACTTCTGGTGTGATTTAGGGCTATCAAAGAAAACATTGAATTGAATTGATCCAGGACACTCGACATTCAGCAACATTTGTGGACCTTGGTCATCTGCCCTTTATGGACCAAAGGCTTTATGTGTTTCTTATCATTGCATTTCTTGTGTTTGAACTGTTTGATTCTCTGATCCGAGATAACTACTGTTGTGATTTAGGGCTATAGATGAATAAATTTAATTGAATTTCCACTCTACACACAGAAGGAGAAAATAGAGGACAAAATCAGCCTTATTATCCTGCCAGTCATTATGTCATTATGGCGATTCAGACCTGGACCAGAGAAGGCCAAGTCAGCCTTAGACTAAAGTAATCATAACAATTATACAGGAGACTGGACTAAACCACTTACCTTTTATAGACATTTTATCTATATAGCTCATTTTACAGACCAAAGTCACCCAAAGTGCTTTACAATGTTCAGAGTTCAGATATTGTTTCATTCACTCCACTCAGTGATGAGTGGGTGAAACCTATGCAGACAGAGGGACGACATACAAACTCTACTCAGAAAGGCCCAGTACCAACCGGGATTCCAACCCTGGACCTTCATGCTGAGACGCGAGAGTGATATCAACTCAGCCACGGTGAATTATTATTTCCCTGCATGTATGTCTGGGTCTGATCCTAGTGGCTGCAGTGACGTTGGTTAAATCCCCACTGACCAATCAGCGAGCGGGGGAGGGGTGTTGTAGGTAGGTGGGGTGACATCAAGAGTTTGCGCTGATTTTGCGGGTTGTAGTTTGGCAATTGCGGCAAATGTGATAGTTAAGTAATATGTTCAGGTTCAGCTCCAAATATCAAGAAATTGAAGCCGGAGCAAGAAGAATATTTAGCAAATTTCATTGCTGGTTAAGATGTTGTAGCTCTACTCCCCATGGGCTTCGTTAGTGGCAAAGGCGGTGGATAAAGCTAGGCTAAATGCTAAATGCCTGACTCACTCATTACATACGTCACGGTGAACTCAGATCCAATCATTTCAATCTGCAAAAGGAGTTAACCCCTCCCACCTGCTAACGGAGCTCAATGGAGCAAATCTAGACCCTAGAACAAAATGAAATTTGTACGATGGTGAGGAAAGACCAGGCTAGCCCCGTGGTGGTCTAAGCAAAATTTAGGAAAGTGTCTTGGATGAACCTCATGCATGTCTACGTCAGTCAGTCAAAGGGCTGTTTCAACAAATCCCCATTTCATCTTTGTCTGATCTCCTATTATCTTCCCTGTGTCGTCACCTCAGCACGGTCACTGACACTGCTGTTCTAAAGATAATCATTACAGTCTGAAGTATTCCCAGTACAACTCCTCTGATCTCCACAGTCCTCGTCTCCTCGGGGTCTTTGCTCTCACACTCCTGTAATCCAACGTTAGGGAAAGTCAGCCACCACTTTCTCACAGTTCAGGAGTGAAACAAAGGCGTGATGTAGCGCGTGCATGTGAGGAGGCTGAATATTGTACAAATGTCTTATTGCGAAGTCTAAGCGGAGGCACGGTGGCTGAGTGGATAGCACTCTCGCTTCTCAGCAAGAAGGTTGTGGGTTCAAATCCCAGTTGGAACAGGGCCTTTCTGAGTGGAGTTTGCATGTTCTCCCTGTGTCTGCGTAGGTTTCCTCCGAGTACTCCGGTTTCCCCTACCATTAAAAACATGTACAAAAGGTCTGGCATGCGCCTCCTGTACTGACCCCGCTCCCATTTCTAAGTGGAGTGAGAGACAAATGTCCAAATATAACAATTGTAAACCGCTTAATGACTCTGGTTTGAGAAAGCAGTATATAAAGATTACTACTACTTACTACTAAGCATGGACAGCATAGCATTAGGAAGAGCTATCACACTGGACAACAGCCAGATCCACACTGCTTAATAGGGCTGGAAATTGGCAAAAATGTCAAGATTTGATATAAATATTTGCGACATTTGGGCCACAATTAAATACTTAAATACAATTTTTTTGCAATTCATGGCCCTCAAAGGCATTACAAATCGAGGAAAATAAGACTCAATTCTAATGTCATATCTTTAACAGTCTGCACTAGGCCTGGGCGATAAAACGATAACAATATATATTGTGATAGACGCGTGTTCGATATCAATAGAAAACGGGTCGATAGTTCAACTTCACTCAACAAGAAGAAAACGCAGTAAGCAAAGCAGAGTCAGACGCGAGCGACATTTCTATCTGGGGGATGTAGGCAGAGGCTTCTCGACCTATCATAGCCGGGCATGAACCGCAAAACATTCTGGGAAATGTAAAAACAACAACCGCATCATGCGTCATCGTCCACGGATCTATAGCTCGTGTTTCAGTGCCGTGTCAATAGTTATGCACGTCTGTGCGAGGAATAGAATGTGCGGCGGCAGAGGCAGTGGACACAGAGACCTGATGCATTCGGTGAAAGCAAGAGATTAACTTTTTCCTCTGGAAGGCTCTCTGATAGCCGCACGGAGCCGTCACGGGGACACAAGACACTCGAAAACAGTCAAAACAGGAGCGAAACCGGGATTAAACCAGGATTAAACCAGGATTAACAATGGGGGAAGACTATTGTTAGGGCCTCCAGCCTCATTCCCCCGTAACTGTAAACAAAAAAAACAATCAATATATATCGTTATCAACCGATATGAATTACTTATATTGTGATATAGTTTTCAGCCATATCGCCCAGCCCTACTCTGCACATTAACTGTAGTGCAAAAACGTTTTACTTGAACATTCTGGACACAGGACCTTATTACAGACAAGACATTATTCATGACTTACATTATTCCAATACAGACTAGAGAAACAAAAGGCAGACATAATAGAGTAACATTAGCATCAGATGTAATAATAATAATCAGTATACTCCGAGTTTACTTTGGTAATTTACATCTGATGTTAATGTGAAAAATGTAACAGATAATTATTTAGATTTAATTGTGTGTGCAAAATAATACAATACTGATTGGCCTCAACTTTTCCCCCCAACACTACTGCTTTAATAGATTCAGGAGCTCAGGAGGCCTGTGCCTGTGTAAAGAATTGGATGAGTTTGACAATACCTGGCAACATGGGAACTGGTATTCTGTGTTTTTCCGTTAATATGCTGAAAATATCCTCAGTCACTGGAGTATGGAGGGGAGCCTGCAGAGAGCACAACAGGGGTTATTTATCTTAATATTGAGTAAAGAGGATGCATTAAAGCAGATAAAAAGATTATTCGTGTTCCTCAAAAGTAAGCATTACGTTTTTTGGACAGCAGCAAGTCCACATTTTCAGAGATTTTTGTCACAGTAATAAATCACAACCATTTTAGGAATGACTAATGAATTTCTACAGTGGAAAGACATCAGAAGAACTAAAGGCTCTTCCACAGAGCCACTAATTTGACAAAGAAAGTCTTATTTATGTATAAGGCTGAGAAGGTACTTTTCATAAGACAAAGAGTGTAAAGAAATTTCTCCCCCGTGGGACAAATAAAGGACCTCTTAATCTAAGCAAGGACGACATGTGATGGAGGGTAACGATGCAGGAGGGTCTAAGGACAGTGGTGATGACTGAAATATCCGATGTTTGATTCTCTGGTCTGTGTTGGCTAAGGTGTTGTAAAGTCCTCAGAGTTAAAAACTGTTGTGATTTAGGCCTTTAAAAAAACTGATTAAATTGAATTGATCATGTTTGGGCGGTAGACTTCTGCTTTTCAGCTCTAGACATCTATCAAAATGTATGGACAGTCCCTTCAGGATTTTGCGGGCAATTATTGTGACTGTTGCAGGGTAAAATTACTGCATTCATTTTATGACTCATTTATTTAGGGCGACAGAGGCTCAGTTGGTAGAGCATTGGCCTTTGAGCCTGAAGGTTGTGAGTTTGAGCCCACCACGGGACCTTCTCCACCGACTCTCACTGATTTTGCATTAATATTTGCGATTTCCTCATTTCTATCTCACAATTGTCTGGTATAGAAGAACCCAATATCCTCATTTTAACATTTTCTTTTTAATGATTTGGGAGACAGCCTTCTGCTCCTCTGCTCCAGTGCATTGGAGTGACTTTTTTCTGCCTACTAGAGTTTGGATACAAGTGAATAATGAAGTTGCCACATAGGGAGGAGCTCTGTGAAAAAGTAAAGGAGAGAAAAGAAGGAGAGAGATTGTGTTGGAGCACTACTGATCATGGAGACACCTGCAGGTTAGTGCTGTGCTCGTTCTAGTTCTTGGCTCTTATTGTTCACCGTGGATTTATATGAATAATGAATGGGTCAAATATAAACTGATCCGGTCTGTTTACAGAGGGCTAATGTGTCTGTTTAACTTGCTCCTTGTCTTCTGTATGAATCACAAAACATTTTAGACAATGATTTTTAGTCTGGAATGTCAATATGGTCCCACAAATGCAAATAGTCTGGTGCATACATGACTTGACCCCAAAATATTTAACAAAAGGTTTCTCAGTGGTGTATAGCAGTAGCACATGTACTTGAAAACATAAGGGTTTACCAAAGTTTGACCACCGGAAAGATGCCATTTTGAAGATCACTGTGTAGTCCTTAATATTACTATGGCAGTAAAATGACCAGGAATAGTGGCGTTTGAAAAATGTTTTGACCATGTAATATGATAGATAAGTTATTATAAGTTAGGGCTGGGCAATGAATCGAATTTAGGCAATTAATCGCCATTTGAAAAAATCGAATTTGTGAAATCGAATGAAGGATATTGTGAGAGTTCCAGCAGCACATGAATTATACTTGTTGATTATACATATATATTATAACTATACTATATAATTATACTTTTAACAAATTGAAAATAGTTTGGAAAATTGAATATTGAGCGGAAAGATAAAAAAATATTTCTAAGGGCAAAGTCTGTCTTCGGTGACTTTAATGAAAAGATTTGAAGAATTAAAATCGAAATCGTCCAAAGCAGGAAATAAAATTGACATTTTACTTTTTTGCCATATCGCTCAGCCCTATTATAAGTATAATTTGCTGCTCTGTGTAGGCTCAGTACTGCTTTTTTGTGTTTTCATTGTAGCATTACTGAACATTTTCATTTAAATATAGAATGTGTAAATGCAAATATTTTATTTGTTTCTAGAAATGTATTGTATTTTACTATATTTAGGTTATAATACTTTTCAAAACAGGAGCACCATGTGAAGGCTCAGTACTGCTCACACCTTTTTATGTTTTAATTATTATAATTTTTTTTTAATTCTATTTACATTTTGTAATGTATTTTATTTACATTTTTCTGAGAAACCTTTTGTAAGAATTTTTTTAGGGTTGGGTGGTTTATTGTCATATATGCACCAGACTAAATCGACTATACACTGAATTTTCCGTAAATGCTGCATATTAGTCTAAGCATCATAAAATAATACAGATATGATCAAATGAAGAAGTAAAAACCTTATTTAAACATTATTTAAAAGACACATAAGCAAAGTTCATCAAGCAGATATAAAAACAAAGCAGTATGCTGACCCCTCGCTCTTTCCAGTCGGGGAAGAGTTCTGTGAGTGTGCTGGGTTCCAGACAGGCCCCTGAGAGAGTGTGTGCTCCGATCTGCGAGGCCTTCTCCACCAGGCACACCCGGAGCTCCTTCTCCTGCTCCAGAGCCAGCTGCTTCAGGCGGATGGCAGCAGACAGACCAGCTGGACCCCCTCCAACGATGACCACGTCAGCCTCGTCCGCGAACCGCTCCATCTCCACCCCTCAACACAAACACAGACACTTTACTTAAGGACAGCAGAGGAAGAAAGGCACCCATCAGCCTGTGACAGCCATCTGGTTTAACAAGAAAAATGGACACCAATTTTACAAGGGGTATAAAGACTAATGCATTTGTCAATACTACTATTTAATTTCACGGTAGCGCAGTGGTTAGGGCTTGAGCTTCACAGCAACGGCTGTGGAGGTGGTTCAATTCCACCTCCAGGCCTTTCTGTGAGAAGTCTACCCAATCTCCTTGTGTCTGCTCCGTTTTTCCTCCAGGTCTGACATGCGCCTCCTGTATGGCAACCCCACTAACATCTCTGAAGAGTGACATACAAATGCCCACAACATTTGTAACGCGCTTTGTGACACTGGTCTGTGAAAAGTGCTATATTAAGAAAACTATTTACTTAATTACTTACATTGTTAACTACAAAAAAAACGACTTCAGTTACATGGACTTAAATCCATGTAACTAGTTCTTTGACTTCATCACTAATTTTTGCAAGCATGTATTTTTAAACTCCAACAAATCTTTTCCAGCAGACTTAGTGGCATACACGCCCTGCACCGGTGACTTTATTAAAGTGTGTGATGAGAAGTGCAGCCTTAAACCAACTTTAGCAGAAGTAAAAACAATCACTGTTAATATTTTGCATTATTTACACTGCTGTGATTAAAAAAACACCCGTGGGCACTGCCCAATCGATTTGCTTGTGTGAGGTTGCGCCAAGCTGAAACATGAATTTAACAGCAAGTTTTCACCACAACCTGCATTCTAATCATATGTGTGAGGTATTTGAAGCTTATTTCAAGGAAGCTTGAAATATTCATAAAGTAGTTTGTGCCTCCGAAATGTGAATTCTTTGTGTGATCTTTTCATGTGTTCTTCGGGACTGGTCACGATTTTGTGGACTGGAACCATCCACCGATCAATTAAACAAATGACTGGTGCGTGAATCGTGGCAGACAGAAGAGGGCATTGGGGTAAAGACGCTGGAAAATGGAAATGCATGTTTGAACAAGAACCACTTTAAACATGCATTAAACAGTGTAAAGTGCTTTTTTCTGAGTCAGTCAGTCAGACAGGCAAGGCAAGGCAAGGTTATTTGTACAGCACAATTCATACAAAAGGCAACTTAAAGTGATGAACAAAATAAGATGGAGACAATTGCACAAGGCATTAAAATCCTAAATAAATCACTAGGGATGCACCGATATGAACATTTGGGCCAATACTGATTCAATATTACTTTTCTGTTATGGCCGATGACCATTATGTGGGTCTTTTATTTCCAAATACCAAGGTTACAGGGCTACCATAAAACATATGTAACCAACTTTTACCACTTATAAAGGATGCAGGTTTTCATGGCAACATCAGAATCAGAATCATTTTTATTGTCGTGTAAGTAACAGGAAGTTATAGACTATGAAATTGCTTTGGCTCTTGGTGCAACAGTCAAAGAGAGGTAAAAAATAGAGATATGATAATTTTGTTCTATTAGTTAGAACACATGTGTCAAAGTCAAGGCCCGCAATTTTACATGGCCCGTTGCTTGCCATTGACGCACTATTACGTCAATTGCGTTTTCCGCTATTTTCATGTTCCCAGATGTCTATTATATCTAGACTTGTTTGGGGATAAGCTTGAGAGCATATTGAATCGAGCCAGCAGGTGGCAGCAGCACTCTCTGAATGGTTTGAAAATAGCTAGATGCACTTGTTTTGCCTCTTTTTTCTCAGCTTTTTGGTGATTTCAGTAAAACTTCCCTCTACTCAACTGGGGATTACAAGCTAGAAACAAAATTATATTTGCTGATGAAAGTAGACAGTCTATTCTTTCAGAATCTGGTTTCGGATTTCAGATAGTCATAGTACACATGATTCTGTGGGTCTTGAAAAATCTATAAAAATCATCAGAAACTGCTGGCAATATGGGAGTACCTGTTCTGAAATGGGCTGGCAGGCAATGAGTTAATAAACGTTGAACCAGTCCGGCCCTCGGCTCGCAGCAAATTTGTTTTTTGGCCCTCTGATGTATTTGACTTTGACATGCCTGAGTTAGAATTAGCCTGGTCTTACCACACCATCGTACAAAGTTAATTTTGAACATGTAGGGAAATAATAATTGATTGTAGTTTACAGATGGGTGGATGCGGGAAAACGCACATACGAGCTTTTTGCAAACTTAGTATTGCTCTTATTTTGAGTGAAATCTATTTCTACTGCAGTGTACGCCTTGTAGAGTTGAAATGAGTAAATTTTTTCAACAATGAGGAGGATTAAGCGGCTGTTTTAGTGACAACAGTGGAGTCACTCTGGGACCAACAGAACCACGTCCAAGATGACAGTTCTGATCAATGATACAATAAATAGGGCACAAATGTTACTTTTGAAAACATTTGAGGTGAGAAATGTGACCCTTTATTTGTTAGGCTGTAGATAATACAAAATTCGGACTTTAGCTCCAGGGGGGAAGCTCAGCAGTTTAATAATTAGTTCTATTGGTTTCAAGTTTTGTTAGTTTGTAGGTCCTGTGGTAGGTACAAGAGAACCTGCTCTTGTTTTGAACTTATCTTTGATGTTTTCATATCTTAATTCAGCCCCAAGTATCAGTGAGAGCCATGCACTGAAGAGTCTCCCTGATGAGACGCAGCTCAGTCCACTTTGGGTGAGTATCCATGACGACACTCAACATTTTTGAAATCATAATAAGGCAAATAGAGCACAGAAAGATAATAGACTGATCCACCCTCGCTGTGTGACGGAGGTCTTTTCTTCCTGCTGCTCTCAGACTTAACAACAATGAGGACAAACAACTACTGCCAACCTGACCTCACATGTCATCTGTGCAAAAACTTGAAATAATGTCTGAATGTGCAAAATGAAACCACATGTGTCCAATGTCACATTACTTATCCACATGAACCCAGACCCTCATGGGCCAAACATGTTCAGTTGTCTACATACAACTATATATTTCTTGCACTAGAATATAAAGTGTTTTATATATTTCTATCTATTTTAATATAGAGTTATTGTTGATTTATCTTGTGCTGTCGGCTTCTCATTCCGTTCTGTAACTGGTGATGCAACACTGAAATGTCCCCACTGTGGGAATGAAGGATCTCTTGATCCTAACCTTGCCTGATACTGCATTAAAGTGAGGATAATACTAAGAGAAGTTAACATTTTAGTTATGATACATAAACAATGTGTCATCTCCTCAGCTGGGCTGTGAAGTGAATGTTCTTTCAATAGTGTTTCAAACATGTAACAAGAGTAAAAATAAATGTGTAATAAAGATATAGATAGATATATATATATATATAGATAGAGATATATATACACACACACACACACACACACACACACACACAGCGGAGCAGTACCTTCCCAGCGCTGGTCTTTGTCCCGGGGGTGGATGGTGTAGTGCGTGGTGATGCGGGGGGCCACAGAGGAGCATCTTCTGAGCTGAGGACACACATGTTCTGTCTGTGTGGTCCTCCAGGCGCGCACACACCTGTGGGCTGTGGGAAAACACATGTACAGCTGCTTATACTTCTTACAATATATTTGTGCAGATTTTAGAGCTGGTCTCACTCTGTATAGCACAGAGCTGATGCTCATGGTGGGGCCGGTGTGGTGTGTGGGAACTTTACACAATTTGAGACAAATGTTGTTGGGGAGAGAGTGGGGATCTGAGCCACAGGGGCTGCTAACCTGGGCTCTGCCGTGCCCACTGCGGTCTGAGCACTTGAGAATTGAACTTGGCTTTAAAACAAAGAGCTGCCCAGGAGCCAGAGTAAAATTCCCGTAGTTAATTATGTTCTCTGCAACAAGTCAGTGACTAGAGTGGAAGCAACAATAGGCCAAAACCGCTAAGCAAAGCTGTGTTCTTCCTTGCTAAGCTGGGCTTTGGTGAATCTTCAGCTGTTTCTCTGCAGACACACAGCTGACTGGAGGACCATGGCCTTTATGCATCCTCTGCTGGTGCTGCAGAGCTACCCTGATGCATCCATCAATAAGAAAAATTTAGTCATTTTAGGCCAATACAAGAAAAAAAAACACACACACAAAAAACCTTATTTGCCAAGGTGTGCTCACCGTTAACACTCCACCAAACCAAAGCAGGATATTAGGCATAAATAAACAAAACAATCTGTTTATCGTTATTTACATGTCAGGTGAAGACGATTATACAACTACACACTAGTCACCTTCGAGAGACAGTGCTATTCATAATGACAGCGTGTTTGGGTGAGTGAAGGCTTTTACCTCACAAGTATGGGCTAAAAAGAAGAATGCGTCATACTAAAATAATCGTTGTTTGCAACATTTTGGCACATTCTCTACTTTCGTATTGCACAGGTCTATTACAGGTGAGTTATTCATTCTACAGTCTGACAGCAGCAGAATAGACTTATATTGCCTAATTCCGATTGGAACCTGTACAAACTAGTGATAACTAGCACTTTTATAATCAGAGAACGGGACCGTGTGTTACATATGCAACACCACAACAACACACAGGTCAAACTCATCTGACAGCTGTGCCACGATTACAAAACACAAACTACAGCCACAATAACCCTGATACTTTTGATAAGTCCACACTGGCATGAACCATTCTTTATCTTTGACCCAGCGCAAGGACACGCTCCCAGTGACTGACCTAGTTATGGATCTGTATTGGATGAACTTTACCCCACATATTAGCTTAATGCTAATTTAGAAGAGGTCCTATAGCTAAATTTATCATAAAACAAAAACGCAAGCAATAGTGAGAAGAGTGATTGTATTACTAATGAAGTGGAGGAAAAGGTTGATGTCACGTTTTCTTTAGTTTTAATACATATGAGTGTGAGCTAGCCGCAGGGGCTAATCAGAGTTAGCATGAGTTAGCTTGCGTACCTTTAGTAGAAAGTCTGCTGGCTGGAAGCATGTCTTGTGCTCCAGAGAAGTGTGATCAGTGTGTGTCGTGTCTGCTATGGCCACCTGAAATCTGATGTAACCTACAGTGTAAACAAGAGCAAACAGCAGCTCACATAAGCCGTCTCATAACAGCGACGTAAGCTGCGCAACCAGCGTACGTCCATGTGCATTAGGCTACGTAAACGGCGTATAGTATGATTAGTATGAATTTCAAACAGCAGTAAAGTTTAATCAATCAATCAACGTTTATTTATAGAGCGCCTTTCCTACACAAGGCAACGCAAAGCGCCTCACAACCCATATAACATCATGCATAAATCATCAAACATTAGAATTTAAGTAAACATAAAAAGACAGATTAAGAGCACAAGATATATAAAATCACACAAGTAGTTAAAAACCGTAAAACATTAAAATCACACAAGGGATTACAATCATAAATAATCATAAATAATCATAGCGCATTAAAAAGATTAAAGATAAAAACAAATATAAAATCATTCACTTGTATGCACAGCTAAAAAGAACTGTTTTCAGTTCAGTTTTAAAAACTGCTAGAGTAGACGCCTGTCTCACACTCTCGGGAAGACGGTTCCAGACTCTAGCTGCATGAATCTGAAACGCAGCCTCCCCATGTCTAGTTCCGACTCTTGGCACTAACAGAAGTCCAGTCCCTGTGCTCCTCAGAGCCCGAGTTGGTTCATATGGCACCAACATGTCGCGGATGTACCCTGGTGCGAGGCCATGGAGAGACTTGTACACAAGTAAAGCTACTTTAAAATCTATTCTCTGAGCCACAGGAAGCCAGTGCAGAGACCTGAGGACCGGACTAATGTGGTCGTACTTCCTGGTTCTAGTCAGGACTCGAGCTGCAGCATTTTGGATGTACTGCAGCTGTTTTACCGCTTGTTTAGAGAGACCTGTGCACAAGCCATTGCAGTAGTCCAATCGACTGGAGACAAATGCGTGGATAAGAATCTCCAAGTCTGCTTTAGACACAATGTTCCTAATTTTAGCAATGTTTCTTAGGTGGAAGTAAGCTGATGATGTCACAGATGATATGTGGCTATTGAAATTTAAGTCTGAGTCCATTATTACTCCTAGATTTCTGACCTGAGTTGAGGGTTTTAGGGAGAGAGACTGGAGGTGGCAGATAACGCTCTCTCTTTGTTTTTGAGGTCCGAAAACAATAATTTCAGTTTTTTCTGTGTTTAGCTGGAGAAAGTTATTTTGCATCCAATCACTGATTTGTTGGATACAGTGAAGGAGCGAGTCCACTGGTCCATGTTCTCCTGCTGTCAGGGACACATAGACCTGAGTATCGTCAGCATAATTGTGATAGAACACGTTATTACTGTGTATTAACCTACCCAGAGGCAGCATGTAAATATTAAACAGGAGAGGCCCCAGGATTGATCCCTGTGGCACTCCGCAGGTTAGGGCCAGATGGTCTGAGATACAGTTTCCGATCTCCACAAAATACTTTCTGTCCTGTAGGTAGGATATAAACCAGCTTAGGGCTGTTCCAGAAACACCAACCCAGTCCTCAAGTCTCTGAATGAGGATACCATGATCGACAGTGTCGAAAGCAGCACTTAAATCTAACAGGATAAGAACTGAGACTTTTCCTGCGTCAGTGTTAAGTCTGATGTCATTTGTTACCTTCACTAGAGCGGTCTCTGTGCTGTGGTGGGGTCTAAAACCAGATTGGAACATATCAAAAGAGTGATTGATTATTAAAAATTCTGTAAGTTGTTGATAGACAACTTTTTCTAGAATTTTACCCATGAAAGGCAGTTTTAATATATATATAGACTACATTAAAACGAATGGATTGGTATATCGAATTAAACCTGGGATATGTAGCTTTATAAATAAAGATCTTATACAATGGTAATCTTCACCATTGTTTCTCTTTATCAAACAGTTTGATTTATCAATAATTTTAACTAACAGGTTTATACATTTAGATCGGATTTTTCAAACAAAAAATGAAAACGGGAGAACCACCCTCTCCCAGCCAATTCACTAAGTCTAAAGAGTGAAATAGTGACTCGTATAAGTAAATTTTTGAAAGACAGAGCCCTGTGAGTCACTATTTGACCTAAGGGTAGAAGCTGATTTGACCTTAGGGTAGAAAGCTATTCCTTTCTTTTCTTTGTTGTGGTTTGAAAGTTAGCCTGTACTACGTGCTTTATACAGTTATAGAATAAGGACATTAGCTCATCATGTTTTTTGTTGTTTTTTTTTTATTTTAATTCATGTTCATCACATAACATCATTGGCTTTCACAGGCTTACAGAAATAATTTAAAAAAAGAAAAACATATGTATTCATTTAAAATATAAAAAACTGCGTTGAAATCAAAGTCTGGAGCAGTTAGACATGGTCATTATTTATAGTGTCTGAGAGTTTAGTGAGTGTACATAGCATCAAGTAAAAGCTATTGTTCGTTTACAAAGCTGGTCTTGACATTTGTTGACGCTCCCTAAGCGCTTTTCTCGGCGCTTGCAGCAATGGATTTCTCTGCATTAAAACAGCGCATCGGATTTGAACAATCAATATACATTTTATCATTTTGCCACAATTACTTTTGTTTAACAAAGTAGCTTTCGTGAGTTATCGACCGCAGAAGTCAGAATCTGACGCTGACTGTAGGAGCCATAAATTGAATAGAATCGTGGGCTGTTTGTGATTGGGTGATGTGCCGGGTGTGGGTCACGTGGTTATAGGGGCGGTGTCTACTTAGTTTCTCACCTCTTTTTTATGAATGAAAATCAGTAGTAGAGAGAGGGGGGCTGGGTTCCGTAGTTTTGGTTGACCGTACGGTTTTTTTTTTTTTTGTGTGCCTTCGTTTGTTTAATGTTTTGTTCAATCTCAGGACGTCTGCGTTATGTTATCACCTCATCCGTGTACTTTTTCATTAAAACGCCACCAAAGGCAATCCGTGTCCAAGTATGCTCTGTGACAGCCAAGCAGCGCGTCATACAATTAGACGAACCTGGTTTCTCCTCTCGAGCGGCAATAGGCACTTGAGTCGCTACACTGACTTTAACAAACTCTGATGCTGCTTTCACACCGGATCATGCGTTGCGTCGACTTTCAATGCAAAGTCAATGGTGACGCGCGATCCAGGGGCGCAGGAGCGGATAATCGACGCACGCAGGAGATATATTTTGCTGAGCGTTTCCTCGGAGAGCCGCAAAGTGGTCACGGGGACATTAGTGGTCTGAGCGAGCAGACTGAACATACTCATAAACAGCCAAAAAAGGAGCTACACCAGGACTAAAACCAGGGTTGACAATGGGGGACATAGTGCTTGTGAACATATAAGGCCACGACTTCTGATGTGAAGACCCCTGCGTCTGAAAATTAGAGAATGTATGTCTGGTGCGCGAGGTGTCAGCGTTTCAGTGTCGGCGGTGTGAAAGCACCTTAAGCCTATGGACGTGATCGAGCCTACGCCCCCCTTTGACACTGATTGGCCGAAAGGTAGACGCTTAAACTGTGATTACTTTGTGTATCGCGCGTGTGACATGCAGTGAGTGAATGATGCATTTAAGGTAGCTATGAAAATACGGGATAAAAGCCGTCTCGTATTTGTAACCGTGGTAAAACAGGTTCTGGACCCGGATTTAAAAAAGGACCACTGGGTTAAAAGCGAATTAAAAACTTTTTATTATAAATACATTAACCCTCTGGGGTCTAGAGCGTCGGATCTGACGCCTGCGCACATGTTTTATAAATGTTCAATTTTCTCATGAACGGCAAAACGTAGCGACTTACTTTTTTTTTCTCCGTGAAGTACACATTTCAGGCATTACAGCGCTAGTTTGTTTTGTCTGTGTGACTTTTGGGGAATTTTCTACGTGTGTTTGAAAGTCGGTGTCCAATCGGATCTTCGAGCGGTCTCCCGTGAGGTAAAACAGCCAAAACAGTAAAGTTATTTTGCTGACACAGGGACTGCCAAAGATTGTCAGAGAGTAGGATGATCCACTCTCCTGTGTGTATGTATTGTCCCATAGTTGAAATTACAGCTGCGATTGCAATTACTGATGCGTAAAAGACGCATTATTTTAGCGGAATGTTACGAAAATGCGTCCCCGACACAGCTAATGTAGCTTTTTATCACTGATCTACGTGATCTACGAGTGATGTGTGTGTTCAGAGTCTGGGCTTGAAAGTGCATTACACAAAGATAGGAGGAGACGCAGATGCAGCGCTCACAAGAGCCAGCACCGGGCTGAAGAGTGCGCATTTATTGATGTAATTATATTATATATTTATTATTGACATCGATAAATACATTATAATGATATGATGTATATGAATATAAGATGTTGTTTTTCTTTCTTTGTTTTCTTAGTTTTTTTGTTTTACATATCTTACAGCTGTGATACTGAAGCAATATATAGACATAGACAAACTGCTTCAGGAAGGGCATCAGGAGTACAGCGTTTTTTTCACTTGTAGTGGAATTTTGTAAAAATTATAATAGTCACAGGTTCAATTTTTTTCCCCATCAACCCCAAGACCCTAAATAACATTTCTATACAGTGTAAAACGTTAGCAATAGCATTTCATTGTGTTTTTCAAAACATTTTGGTGAAATTGTATTTCCGTTTCATTTTTTTCTTTGTCTTCATGATTCCATATTTTTTATATAATTCATATGACAGCTGTACACTATGAATATTATAAATCCACAGGTTGTACTGAAAAAAACAAAGTTTACTGCTTGACTCTGCATCACAAGATGACTATTTTATGAGCAATTATACACAAAGAAAACCAGGCGAGGAAAGTTCCCCAAAATGAGCTTAGACCTTGAAGGGTTAAAACATAAGTAAATGAATAAAAGCAATAAAACCTAAGATAAAAAAACTGACTAAAAACAGAGGCTAAAAATACTGCATGGCCGCCAGACCACGGGGCACTCCCCTCCCGTGTCTCATCCAGCTCTGCCTCCGCCGTCTCCCCATCTCCTTTTGTACCCAAAGCACAGGTGTT